CAAGTTGTTCATAACACCCTTGTTGGATTCTATCTATGAGCTCTATCGAGGTTTACCTTTACTTTCCAATAAATAAATATTTTATAAATCAAAATTATTTTAAAATAAATCAGTCATTTTCAATATAAATCTAATATTGTTTAAAAAATTTAAACATCTTGATTATGAGTATAAATTAAAATTTGATTTAAAATCATAGAGTATCTAAATTGATCGATTTTCGTGTTGTTGTGAAATGTGGGAAACAAAGTGTAAATGCCACTTCTCTATGTTGGATGAAGTATGATAAACAACCGGCTGAATCGAATAAATCGTAAAATGCTCCGGGCTGGCATACGTGGCAGACGGCGTTGCGTTTGCTCTATTTTGAAAAAAAAGTAAACTATTTACAGTTGTAAAGTAGCACTTTGTGTACACAGTCGCCAAAAATTCAAATAAAAAGTGCCGTAAAAATTTATGCGGTCAAGCTTCTGGTAGTGGGTCTTTACGTTTGAGTCAATGTTAAAAATTGTTTCAACGTTTTATAATCGCATAAACCGCTTTATCACGTTTTCTTAATAACTAAATATAAAATTTAATTTAGATTATAATCGTTGTAATTTGTTTTTGAAGTATTTAATCATTGTTAGAATAAAAAATACGATTTTATGGTGGCATTAAATTTTTATAATGGTTAATCAAAAGTTCCGATGGTATAGCATTAATGAATCATTTTTTGCAAAAAGTTTTAAAAACATTTACTTTACTTTGACCTTTTTCTCTAAATAATAGATTCAAGTCACGCAGACTTGAATCTTACCCAAAAATCTTGATAATATAAATAAACATTTGGTTTTGGTGTTTTGATATTTCATTTTTTACTAATATTGTTTTTATGGTTTTTGGCAAAATTTTTGCTACACAGTTTTTTTTTAATAAAAATAAGTTACCCAAGATTTAATATCTAAAAAAATTTCCTACAATGTTATAAACAAATTTTGTAGAAATGCAAAATCATCCCTTCATTCCAGTTTTATCCCCTTACATATTTTTATATGGAAATTTTTATATGAAATGAATATCATAATTAATATTCGTCTTGGCTTTCCTGTATTTCCCCACCACATCATTGCTTCAACCATTTTGACACACTTTTTCAGTTTCTTCATTCCCTAGCTTCCAATTCATTTCTTCTAAGCATAGCTACCCAATTTTATCTGTAGTCCTTCTATGTTGTCATTCCATTAATCACCTATAATATGACATCATCCATTTCCTTACCATCTCCTCTTTATTTACATTCTTAATGGATTCCCCTCCACTATTACTGTTTTTCAGCCCTCAACCTCTATAACTCACAGTCTTCTTTTTCTACATCTTCCTCCAAGTCTTGCCGTCATTGAATAACTTCCCGTCGACGTTTCCCTTAGAAAATGATATGCAACAAATCTAGAAGAGATTAATACTATCTATGATGAATCTGCGTTCGCCATGTGGTATACTAATGCAATGTTAAAAAAATTAAATCTATCGGAATTTCTAAAGCTTAATACGACAAAGTGACCTTATTACAAAATCTGTGTGCAAAGAACATGATATGGATTTACGGAAAAGATTTTATAATGCCATAAGTAAACAGATCGACTCAATACATTGGCTACAAAGTTATTACAACGTAGTAAAACAACTACAGAATTCATGGAAGGAGGTAAAATAGTAGGAGGTAATACTTTTTCACATTACGGTACAACAAAATCTAAATATAGGATATACTTAACGAAAATTTTCTTTTTTTTCTTTCTCTCTAAATAACATTTATATGACTTGAACCATTCCCAAAAAATGCCTCAAAATATGCATTAGCTTTAGCAATCTACATTTCGTCGATCGTTTAACCAACAATGTTTTGCGCGCTTTGACCTTCGTTTCTCTACAAATTGTTTAGCCATAATAAAAAAAAATTGCGTTGTTAAAGTTTTTATCACTCTTTTATTGCAGTGACTATTAACTTACAATACACATTAACAATCCCGAATGTTAAATTGTTTAAATTGAGTACAAAACTGAATTGGGTTGGAATTTCCTCCAGCAATGTTTATTTGAAATTTTTCGCATACACTCATTTCAAAAAAAAAAACAAAAATGGAATAATACAAATTTAACAACCAGGGCTATCATACGATGTAAGAAATAAATTTAAGGGTGGTGAAAGTTATAAGACCACAAGTCGTAAAAAATTCACCCGCAGGTTATATGAACCATAAACCCACTTAAATTTTTAATAATAACCCGTGGTTATTTATACCGGATCTACACACCAGATTCGTAAAAGATCGAAATGTAAACCTGTTAATTGAATTTTATGTATCTGTTTGTTTTTCTAACGTATTATTCGCATCTTCAAGTCAACCTTGATGCGTAGCCGAAAATCTAATTCGCAGAAAGTACACATTACGATGCTTAAATTTTAAAGCTTCATTTTATTGGTTCGCTTTCGATGCATATAAAGTGAAAATAAGCGAAAGACAAATATCGATGTTTCAATTAAACGTCACGCGAGCTTTCGCTCGAGGTTTCGTTCTCGCTACACTCGTTAACCATAATTGTGATCGAAAGGGCATAATATTTTTAATACGACCGCACGTGGTCGATGGGTCCTTAACTTTACAAATCGATTTTTGGAATTTATTCCGTTCATCATGACACGTGTATTAGAAGCGGAAAATTAGAAATATACGAATAAACTAGGAATCTTTAGTATTGTTTTAATAATTAGATGTTTTAGTTGGTTGGAGTATAATCGAGGCGGAGTTTTTTTTTGAGAATACGAATGATGCGTAGTTTATTAACAAGGTCGTAGTAAACTCTAATTAAAATACAACAATAACAAGCACGTAATAAAATTCTTGTAAAAACAAATAAAAATAAAGTGAAGTTAATTTATACTTCTTGAAGGATAAACACCGTCTGATATTGTTGTTTAAGAGGAAACATGAAAAATATCAGTGTTGTTATTCAATATTACTGTGTATATAAATTGAAAAAAAAATAGCCATTATTTGTTATTTTAATTTATAGAGCAAAGGTTATCGAAACATTAACTAGGATCTTCCTGTTTTATTTACCATATTATTTCTGTATCAGTTTGTATTTCCTGGTGTGAAAATAGCAAACATTAATTATTATTTTCCCTGGTATTTTTGGGGTGTTTATTATTCATTGCCATTTCAAAGAAACTTTTTTACTGATAAGTTTAACTAAATCATATTTCATCTCGTGTCATTTTCTTATATAAATTGCATCCAAATATAGTCTAGAATAGGAGTGTAAAGTAAGCTTGACGAATTAACTGTCAAAAAAACTTTTAGATCAAAAGTTGTTACAAATTGTATGCTTAACAATATTGTTCTGTTGTACTTTTTTTCTCAGATGCATAGATAGCGAGGAAAATACGAAAATGTTAAGATTTGACGAATTAGTTGTTTCAAGTTGCTGATGGTAACAATGGAGAATATGAGAGAATAAAAGTTGTTACAAATTTTATGCTTAACAATATTGTTCTGTTGTACTTTTTCTCTCAGATGCATAGATAGCAAGGAAAATACGAAAATGTTAAGATTTGACGAATTAGTTGTTTCAAGTTGCTGATGGTAACAATGGAGAATATGAGTACGTTACAAAAAACTTTTAGAATAAAAGTTGTTACCAATTTTATGCTTAACAATATTGTTTTGTTGTACTTTTTCTCTCAGATGCATAGATATCGCGAAAAATACGAAAATGTTAAGATTTGACGAATTAGTTATTGTTTCAAGTTGCTGATGGTAACAATGGAGAATATGAGTATGTTATAAAAAAACTTTTAGAACAAAAGTTGTTACAAATTTTATGTTTAACAATATTGTTCTATTGTACTTTTTCTCTCAGATGCATAGATAGCGAGGAAAATACGAAAATGTTAAAATTTGACAAATTAGTTGTTGTTTCAAGTTGCTGATGGTAACAATGGAGAATATGAGTACGTTACAAAAAGACTTTTAGAACAAAAGTTGTTACAAATTTTATGCTTAACAATATTGTTCTGTTGTACTTTTTCTCTCAAATGCATAGATAGCGAGGAAAATACGAAAACGTTAAAATTTGACAAATTAGTTGTTGTTTCAAGTTGTTGATGATAACACTAGGGAATCTGAGTGTTACAAAAAAACTTTTAAAACAAAAGTTGTAGCAAATTTTATGCTTAACAATATTGTTCTATTGTACTTTTTCTCGGATGCATAGATAGCGAGGAAAATACGAAAATGTTAAGATTTGACGAATTAGTTGTTGTTTCAAGTTGCTGATGGTAACAATGGAGAATATGAGTATGTTACAAAAAAACGTTTAGAATAAAAGTTGTTACAAATTTTATGCTTAACAATATTGTTCTGTTGTACTTTTTCTCTCAGATGCATAGATAGCGAGGAAAATACGAAAATGTTAAGATTTGACGAATTAGTTGTTGTTTCAAGTTGCTGATCGTAACAATGGAGAATATGAGTACGTTACAAAAAGACTTTTAGAATAAAAGTTGTTACAAATTTTATGCTTACCAGTATTGTTCTGTTGTACTTTTTCTCTCAGATGCATAGATAGCGAGGAAAATACGAAAACGTTAAAATTTACCAAATTAGTTGTTTTTTCAAGTTTTTGATGATAACACTGGGGTATCTGAGTATGTTACAAAAAAACTTTTAAAACAAAAGTTGTAGCAAATTTTATGCTTAACAATATTGCTTAATTATACTTTTTCTCTCAAATAGACAGATATCGAGAAAAATACGAAAATATGAAATGTATTGTGGATTGTTTTAATATAAAATTAAAAAGTTGATACTCAATAGAATGTCATTACATTCCATGAAAACCTGGAACATTTTTTTAGTCATGATATGTTAATTGGAAAAAAAACCCGATAAGAAATTTTCACCGTTGACTTTAAATACTGAAATTCTCGTAAATGTGCCACATCGCCGGTAAAGATCGTGTTGAAAATGTATAAAATGTATTGTGTTATTTTTAGTGCTTTTATAATAGTTTCTACATCACGTTATGTAAGGATTTAATTTAATTTTAAACATAAATGAATTAATTGTGTCTTTATTTTAGACTTTTAATGAAAAAAGGAATGTTGTTAAAATTTCGAGTGGGTTATTAAATGGCAAATTAATGAGGACTTACAACCAACGCATCGAATATTTAGCTTTTTTAAAAGTGCCATTCGCTAAAGCTCCCATTGGAAATCTTCGGTTTAAAGTAGGTAAAAATTATTTTTATGGCATAAATCTGTAACAAAATTTTGTAGCCTCCACAATTTATTGATAATTGGAAAGGAATTTACGATTCCACAAAAGAAGGTGATGCATGTTTACAAATGGGAAAAAATGATACTTTAATTGGGAGTGAAGATTGTTTATATATGCGAGTTTATACCCCAAAGGTACCTAATTAAATATTTTTTTAAATAAATAATAAAAAAAATTAAACAGCGCAGAAAAAATAATGAACTTCTCCCGGTTATGTATTATGTCCATGGTGGTGGTTTTAAAGAAGGATCTCCTAATTTCAAGGAATACGGCCCAGATATTTTTATGGAAAAATCCGTAGTTTTAGCACTTGTCCAATATAGATTAAGTGTTTATGGTAAATTTAATAACCCAAATCTCGACAACAATTAAAAAAAAAATTTAGGTTTCTTAAGTACTGAAGATTTGAATTGTCCGGGAAATAATGGAAATAAAGATCAACGTTTAGGATTAAAATGGATTAAACAAAACGCCAAAGCTTTCGGTGGTGATCCAGAACGAATCACTATATTTGGACACAGCGCCGGATCGGCCTCTATAGGAATTTTAGTTAACACACCAACGACAAAAGGCGATTATAGAGCTGCTATTCAACAAAGTGCATCTGATATTGCAAGCTTCCTCCAACAAGTAAATGCAAGGAAGAGAGCGTTAAAAATAGGAGAAGAATTTGGGATAATTACAAATAATACTAACGAATTAATTGAGAAACTTCAAAAAATTGATTCTAAAGAGCTCTACAAAAAAGCTTTAGATATAGGAAATAAAGTAATTAATACAAACAACTTTAAATAACAATCAAAAATATTTTATCTTTAAGGTTCCTACAGCGAAAGGAAGTTTGGTTTTTACAACAATTATAGAGTCTGATCATCCTGATGCAATAATTACTCGTAAACCTCTACAACAATTAGAAAAAGGCGAATATAATCGTGTACCAATAATGCTTGGATTTACTTCATTAGAAGCTCTAACATTAATGGATTTTGTTGATCAAATTGCATCAAAAGTAAAAACAGATAGCACCGTTTTAATTCCTAATACGTTATATCCTAAAGATAATGCAACCGAATTAAAATTAGGCGAAACAATTAAACAGTATTATTATAAAGGAAATGATTTTAATTATTCAACTCTTCGTGTAATTACTTATAATATTGATGTATATTGAGATATTATATAAGTAATTTTATTTTTTAGTATACCAGTGATAATGTTATAGTCAGACCCGTTCTAAAGAAAGCTCATCTAATATCTAGATATACACCAACTTATTTCTATAAATTTTCTTATATCGGATATTTAGGAGATCCGCTTAACCCAAATAGAAGAGGTGTAGGACATGCGGAAGAACTGAATTATCTCTATCGTAATAGTAATGAACCTAAAAATATCCCTGAAGGTGATGCTAAAATTCGAGAACAATTAGTTACTATGTGGACAAATTTTGCTACTACTTTGTAAGTATTAATCCTTTGTGTTAGTGTAAAAGCCCGAACTACGGTAAATCTTAGGTTTAACTAGTAAATCTTAAGATTTACCAACATGAGTTGGTAAATGTAAGGATTTTTTAAACAAGAGATAATTTTTCTGGTTTTTAGTTTGGTACATGCTAAGTTTTACCAATAGCAAGTTGTAAATGTTGGTTTTGAGAATAAAACAATATAGTTATTTTTGATACAAGATACACGGAACAACACCTGTCTATTTTTCGACATTTACCGTGTCTCTACGGTAAAACCTAAGATTTACCAAGTGAATGGTGGTAAAAGTTCGAAATGACTTATGATCTCAGAACATTTTGAACTTTTACCATTCAGAGTTGATAAATGTTTATCATAAATTCTAAATCATATGCGTCCTGCGTCAACACTACCTGATCATCTGCAAATTGTAGTGAAAAAGTCGGTGGTTATTTTTTATTCTCCGCTAGTTGTTGTAATGTTACATATTTTTAATTTGTTTTAAACACGTTTCAACCTCATCCTCTTTTATTATCATCGAATTGCAATCATCATTTCTTTTATTAGGTTCGTCCTGATACTCTTGTATCATTTTATTTTATGCTATTTTAAATGTCATGTAATTTTACAGAAATCCTACTCCAAAAGAAATTAATTTATTGGATAATATAATATGGCCACAATATAAAAAGGAAACTCAATACAAAGCTTTATCTATAGACACAAAACTTACAATAAGAGAAAAAATTAATGAAACTGATTACTTATTTTGGGAAAAAATGTTTAGTTATGATACAAAACATGTTGGATATTTCTAATTTATTTAAAAAAATAATACAATAAAATTTATTTATAAATAACAGTTGGTTCGTTTACTGATAAAGGAACCGATTTCCCCTTTTCCAAATGCACATTTCTAAAGAAAGCGGTATCGACAAAAATCCTTCCCCTTTTCACTTTCTCCGCTAAATCCTTTTCGTGCATCTGTTTTATTGATCTCACCCTAAAACGTTGTTTCTTTTTACGGGGTGGTTGAGATCTTATCGATGTTCTTGGAGCAAACGATTTTCTGGACATTCTTATTTCACGTTTTGCTGGCCCCCAGAAAAATTGTGGCTTTAATAAATTCGTCTTAAAAAAAAGATATTAAATTAAACAAGAAAAAAATGATTGAAAGAATTACGTTGGAGGTGCGGAAACTTAACACCACAAACAAGAAGGATGACGCAAAAGTTACTAGGAGAGTAATCGTAAGGACTGAAGCTCCCGCGTAAATGTGAGTATTCGACAATTTCTTATGTGCAAGAATTGATTGCATATCTTTTAGATTGTCCCATTTTAAAATTATTGCCATAAAAGAAACCTAAGAAGTAATAATTAAATTTGTGACTAAAGGAATGAAATTAATTTACCAAGGCAAAGAAAGGAATTGTGTACCAAAGTAAAGACCAATATCTCATCGGTTTTCGCCCGGTTAAAAAATGGATGTCGTCGCATAATCTCTTTACACCATAACAACAAAAAACACTAAACGACTATAATTTAAAGATAAATTTGATTAAGCATAAAAAGTTTTAATGATTCCTTTTCTTACCTCTATTAAAACATGACAATTTAAACATAAAATGATATAATTTACAGCAAGAAGATCAGTGAGCATCACAAAAAACTGAAAATATAATAAATATAAATAGTTTGTGATTAATAAATTAAAATAACTCACGTGGAGACAACAAATTAAGCTTGTAACTCCACATACACCCACAATGGACATGACGACGTAATTTGGAAAATAGCTCAACTGCGGGAGGTAATCGTAAAGATTGAGAACGATCAAATGAATGACGACCGTCTAAAATCAAAATGCATACGAATTCAATTTGATTATTTAACAAGACGGTTAAGATTTTTTTACCGTTCGTATAATTTGAATAAACCAAAAGAAGAACATGTAGCATAACATGAAAGATAAAGGTGATTCCATATGTGTTAAAAATTGAGGAATTAATGATAAATATAAACCAATTACTAAAAAAAATCAATTTTTAACGATTTAGGTAATTATTTAAGATTAATCTTACATGGTGACATAACTGCCTGAATTTCTACATCGAATTGTTTAGCTAAAGCTCCTCCTATTGCAAACATTCCGGATAAAAAGAAAAGTGAAATAAAAACGTTTGAAATTACTAAAAGGAGAGTTTCAGCTCCAGTTCCTAATCGTTTCGGAAATTTTGCATAAGCAGAAGCTGTCATGTAACCAGTTGGTACTAAAAACCCCAATTTTCCAATTGTATAAAAAGCTATTATTAAACACTAAAAAATGCATCAATAATTAATGAAATTTTAAAAGTTTTTCCTTATACCTTATAAACATTCATTTTGCTATACTCAATAGAAATAATCGTTTTTAATCCATTTTCACTACCAGAAACTGTTAAAGCCATAATATACATCACGGTAAAAATTACCCAACAAACTATAGTGATTGCTTTCAGCATCTAAAAGATTATCTTTTTAATGTAATAATTTGTAATCATTTTTTTTAACCCACCGCTCCTATAACTCTCATTCCTAAAATCATAAATGCTCCAATAACAATCCACGTAACGATTAATGAAATTAAAAGTTGCCAAATTGGATAATTTGATGGATCCTCAGACTTAAAAGTTTGCCAATAAATATAATCTGTTACGAATTTTAATCCTTTTCCTGAAGAACATAGGTAATCACCATGCATACAAATAACGCTTTTTCTGGTTTTATTCCTTGTAATCCCATCGATGCATAAATTTGTATCAGATCCGACTGGACATTTTTTAAATAAATCCGGTTCGATCATCAATTTTAAAAAGTCAATAAAAAAGTGGCTCGTATTAACCATATTAATAGGAATGTAAAACATGTTCATTAATAAGATCATCACGCCAAATCCGAAAAAAATCGGCACCATTCGATACATTTGGCTGTTCGTTAAGGAGGTGTAACGTCCCAAAAAGATTTCCATGTATATTAACGGCATGGCGAGAAGAAACGCGCTCAATAAATATGTTAGTATAAACAATCCTCCGGATATTTGCAACGAGAAGCAGATCATGTATGGAAGAAAATCTGGCCCATTCCCGAGCATAATAACGAAAAAGTAATAATGACTTTTATGCGGCCAATAATTCTTTTCGGCGCGTCTAAACTTAACTTCAGTGATTCTTTTTCTTCTTTGAGTTTTATATTTTTCATCTTTCTGTTTCTTATTTGATTTATTTTTTTTATTATAATCTTCTACAGATTTTACATCAAGAGCAGTCGACATTTTTATTTTTTATTTGACAATACGTCAAACAAACGTTTCCCAGTTAACAAAGTCTTTAAATAAACATAATTGTTTTTAAAAAAGAAGTTAACACAAAAAACATTTCTTTTCATTTCATTAAATCATGGAATTTATGAACATATTTTTATCTTCCTGGTCAAATCAGATAAATTTTCCATTTATCTAGAATTTTTTAATGATTCAATGATGCGATTATTTCCGTAAATAACGACCGTTATGGCTGTCATATGGAATTCTAACTATTCGATGTTCTATTACTCTTGAAATGACACAATTCCAATGTCACACATTGTGTCCACAATGTCCTCAATGTCAACACATTTCCGAATGCAATAGATCTTGTTATTGGCAAATATAATGCTAATTATACCTAAATCATAGCCACTTGGTCCGGGAAGATTGGTGCACACGATGGTTGAATTCTTCTATAATTCTATATTGTTCTTAAGGCATCCAATGTTAGCTCAAATATGCCTGATATCTAATTAGGTGGGCTATATTGACTGAGATTTGCAAACCAAGGGAAGTTCATTCTGTAAAATTATCATTAATTCTGTTTTAAACATTGCTTCTAATTCTGAGAAATATGCATTTATCTAAACATAATAATGTATAGTCTAAAAATGCCAAAACAAATCTAATATTTTACATATTTGAAATTGTTAGTGAGACTTCTAAGAAATCAAATTTGATTTTGCAAGAATGAGGAATGCACATTAGAAGAAAATTTAATCCATTTAAAGTATTAATTAAGTAATGTAAAATATGTAAAATTGAAAACAACAGTGCCACATACCAACGAATGGTGGAACTAACGACACTGGTCGTTGCGTGATTACTGGTAAAAATTTTGTAGGAATCTGTAAGATGTAAAATTTAGGGCGGTAAAATGTTGTTAAAGTAAATAAATAAAAGTTAGGGATGCTATCATGTTGTAGGAAAATTCAGAGTTTTTTTATTTTTCTAATACTTAATTCAAATTCAAACGCATGACAATTATTGAATAACATTCTGTATATTTATGTTGACGAATGTGGTATATATGAAGTCTTACATAATCTAGAAATGGCAACTTGTAAATAGCGTTGTTATATAAATCTTCCTGATAATGTTTGTTATGTGGGTACTTGACCCTAAAAGAAACCAACTATTGATTTAGTTACAATGCATGTTTTCATTGTGTTCTATCCTAAATACTGGATTTTATACGAATTTTTAAAACTTAATCGGCGAAAATTGCAAAATTCGAAAAAATTGTCGATTATTTCAAAAATTTATTTCTCAAGAACTAAAAGTGATTTTTCAAAACGGGTTTTTGCATTAAAAAGAGGAAACTTTAATTAATAATTGGTGATATTTCCACAAGGATCTTTCAAGAAATTAATTTTATAACGAATTTTGAAAGTTATCAATGAAAATTGCAACATCGAAAATTTTATCAAAACTTCAAATATTGTTTTCTCAAAAACTAAAAGTTATTTTTTAAAACGTGTTTGTTCATTGGAAAGAGGACACTTTTATTAACATTTTGGCAAATTTTGATACCCATATTCCAAGAAATCGATTTTATACGAATTATTAAAACTTAATCGGCGAAAACTGCAAAATTCGAAAAAATTGTCGATTATTTCAAAAATTTATTTCTCAAGAACTAAAAGTGATTTTTCAAAACGGCTTTTTGCATTAAAAAGAGGATACTTTAATTAATAATTGGTGATATTTCCACAAGGATCTTTCAAGAAATGAATTTTATAGCGAATTTTGAAAGTTATCGTTGAAACTTGCAACATGGAAAATTTTATCAAAACTTCAAATATTGTATTCTCAAAAACTAAAAGTTATTTTTAAAACGACCTTTTGCATTAAAAAGAGGATACTTTAATTAATAATCGAAAGTGATAACAGCAACAGTTCTGTTAGTAATGAATGTGATGATGAATTACAAGCAAAGAAAAGAAAACTAGACGAAACTGCAATAAGAGATTTTATATATCATATTAGGATTGTTACAATGAGGTTGCAAATGACAAACCTGATATAAATGAAGTCGTATTCAATGAAAAAGTCATATTGTGGTTGAACTTGATTATTATGAGTGCAGAAATTAGTCATAATTACTAATTACGACTACAGTGTCCAACACCTAAAAGAGATACTAGCTCCTGTGAATGGTGGAGTACTAAGTAATAGGTTTTTAAAATCCGGCCAAAGCCGTAACTATGTGAAAACAATCAAGATTTTATTCTGGCAATCAGCAAAATTTTACCAACTGTAAGCCATGATTTTAAGAGTTGTGATGAGGAAACGGAGAATTCTCAACAATAAATAGGTAACCTGCAATGTATATTTCAGAAGATATCACCATATTTGTTCTAGATACAGACAATAATGTTTGTACCAGACTTGTTTGAATATTAGGTACTAGATCTCATTCAATATTTAATCAATTGAAGCCCTGCTATGTTTTTGAAGTCATTATCGCTGACGAATTCAAGGTAGTTATCAGATAAAAGCTTTTGGATATCGAAGAAAGCGTTAGCGACCGTGCTGAAAATGGGTTACTGTGAACACGTCCAAGTAAGATCATTCTAGGTAATGTAACCAAGCCTGTGTTTTAACTGCGGGCAATCGGGATACATAACAATAGACTGCAATAATAAACCAAACTGTTTCCTATGTTGCGATGACATTGTGCTCATGAATTCTGGTCACCAATTGTCATGTTTTGTCCAACACACTTTGTCCTCAGCTAATTTTATTTTGCATCGCCAAAAATTGTGACTTTCAACCAAGAAAACACTAAATCTAATATTTCCCTATCTTTATTTATCATTTCTTTTGCCTAAAAACACCATTTCAACACCTCATCGAGTCACATTAAATGTTTGGATGCAACTGCCATTCAATTTGAACTGACCCGTTACAGTAATCCCATTACATCTTGTGTGTAAGCTTTTGTAATCTTTTTATAAACATTTCAAACGCTTTAGTTTCATACACAAAATCTTCTGTTTCTAAAATTTAACTTGTAAAATTTGACCTTCCAATCATCTTGTAATCATAATATTTTGACTGGCCTTTTACGATGATATCGAAGCGAGAACAACGTTTTCATCACCCCAGTAAATGCACACTGACCTTGGTTAAGCTGCAAAACAATTCGCTTTTCCGAAGAAAATCTTGCATTCGAATTGATTTTGAACTCAGATTAAACTATAAATAACAAGTGTTCGCCATAAAATTGGTTATGTATTATGATTATGATGATAGATTTAGACTTGAATACGAAAGAAGTTAGAAAGTTTCCTATTTTTGCAAATTAGAAATAAAAGTATTTTTTAAACGATTTTTAGCAATTATTATGACAAGTTGTCTATAATTACCAAACAATGCACGTGAAGGAAATATTAACACGAATATACAATTATAGATCTGCGAAATAATTATAGAAATTTTTTGACACGCCAAACTAATTTTCCGCATGAAATCCTTTCAATAAAAGCTTCTCAAACAATCTAATCTTGTTCATAGTAAGCGAAAGAAATCGTTAAAGATGGAGATCGCAATTTTTCTTGCTATCATCGTGTTTCTCCTCTACAAACTCAGCACGAAAAATTTTGGTTATTGGAAAAAACGAAAAGTTCCATTTTTAAAACCAACGCCAATTTTTGGAAATTTTTACGAGTGCTTAACTTTTAAAAAATCAATAGGTGAAATGTTACAAGATATGTACAAACAAATCCCCGATAAAGTTTTTGGAATTTGGGTTTTTAATAAACCACACGTTGTCATTAAGGATCCTGAACTAATAAAAATGGTTTTGGTAAAAGATTTTCAATATTTTAGCGACCGAACTGTAGCGGCTGACGAAAAAGCCGACTCTATTTCATCAAATATTCTCTTTGTGCTTCGTAATCCCGAATGGAAAGTTATACGAAAAATGATGACACCTGCTTTTACATCGGGGAAAATTAAAAGTATGATTCCATTAATGGCAGAAGCCGGAGATGAAATGGTCCAATACATCGAAAAAAGAGTTAATTTACCAACCGTTGAGTCTAAAGAAATTTGTGCTAAATATGCCACAGATGTAATTACTTCGTGTGCTTTTGGCGTTCAAGGAAGATGCTTTCAAAAAGAGGACGCGAAATTTCGGCAAGTTGGTAAAGATATGTTTGAACCAAACTTCACAAACGGAGTTCGTGGAATTTCTTATTTCTTTTTACAAGAATTAGTATATTTATTAAAAATTAAATTTATCCCACCTAATGTTAGTGAGTATTTAAAACAAATATTTTGGTCAACTATTAATCTTCGTGAAAAAACTCAACAAAAACGAAACGATGTTATCGATATTATTTTAAAATTAAAACAACAAGGTGATATCGACGGCGTTAAATTTGGTAAAAGATAAAACGATTTCACACTAATTTTATTTTATTTAATTATAAACAATTTCTTTTTAGACGGAGATATTGCTGTTGCACAAGCAATACAATTTTTCTTAGCCGGATTTGAAACAACAAGCTCAACGATGGCTTTCACACTTTACGAATTGTGTTTAAACAAATCAATTCAAACTAAACTAAGATCTGAAATTAAATCAGTTCTTAAAAAACACGACGAAATAACTTACGAAGCTATCCAAAGCATGAAATACCTCGATAAAGTTGTTTCGGAAACTTTAAGAAAATATCCCGTATTACCATTCTTAGATAGAATGTGTAATACTGATTATAAATTACCTGGAACTGACATAATAATTGAAAAGGGTACTCCAGTTTATATTCCGATGTTTGGATTACATTACGATGAGAAATATTGGAAGGATCCTCAAAAATATGATCCAGAAAGGTTTAGTGATGAAGAAATTAATAAAAGGCATCAATATGCGTATATTCCTTTTGGCTCAGGACCTCATAATTGTATTGGTAAGAAGAGAAAAATAAATGATTTGATTTTTCGTATTATTTAATTTTTATTTTAGGTGAACGTTTCGGATTGATCAGTACTAAATTGGGTTTGGTTAACATTTTAAATCGATTTGAAGTTGAAAAGAATGCGGATACACCGATACCATTAAAATATTCAGCGAGAAGTTTTGTTTTGGCCTCAACAATTGGATTACCAATGAAATTTATTGATAGTAATCGTCGTGCATCTTTTGCTGCATAACGTTAATAATTTAACGATGAATGTGTGTATTTTAAATAATCCAATATTGGGGTGAACTATTAAAATAAAATTTATTAAAAATTGTAGTTTAGATTTTAAATTTAATTTTTGGTAAAGTTAAGGTCGTTTTATCCCAAATAACTTTGTACTAACATTGGCAAAAACACATTACACCTAGTTTCAAAGAAACTTCAGTTATGAATTCACTCGAATCGATTTTAAAATCATTTCGTTGCAATAATAAATTGTATATGTCGAACACAAGCAATGTTGAAAGAATTTTATTTCAAGTCTTAAGATGGATTTTCCAAGAAATTTGTTTATCTCCTTTAATATAGATCTTGTTTGAAGCAAGGTTTGTATATGTATCCTGCAACATTAGTGAGGTAAAAGTAATAGTTTTTTTAATAACAGTAGTAGTAACCATTCACAGGAATTAGTATCTCTTTTAGGTGTCGGACACTGCAGATAATAATCAAGCTCAACTCCAATAGGACCTTTTTCATTTAATACAACCTTATTTATATCAGGTTTGTCATTAGCAACCTCATTGTAACAATCCCAATACGATATATAAAATCTCTTGTTGCAGTTTCATCTAGTTTTCTTCTCTTCGCTTGTAGTTCATCACCAGATTCATTACTAACAGAACTGTACAGAACTGTAGCTGTATCACCTTCAATTATTAATCAAAGTATCCTGTTTTTAACGCAAAAAGGCGATTTGAAAAATCACTTTCAGTGCTTGAGAAATAAATTTTTGAAATGATCGACTATTTTCTCGAATTTTTCAATTTTCGCCGATTAAGTTTAAAAATTCGTATAAAATCCAGTACTTGGAATATAAGTATGAACATTTCCCAAAGTGTTAACAAAAGTGTCTTCTTTTCAATGAACCAACCCATTTTAAACAATAGCTTTTAGTTTTTGAGAAAACAATATTTGAAGTTTTGATAAAATTTTCGATGTTGCAATTTTCATCGATAACTTTCAAAATTCGCTATAAAATTAATTTCTTGAAGGATCCTTGTGGAAATATCACCAATTATTAATTAAAGTATCCTCTTTTTAATGCAAAAAGCCGTTTTGAAAAATCACTTTTAGTTCTTGAGAAATAAATTTTTGAAATGATCGACAATTTTTTCGAATTTTGCAATTTTCGCCGATTAAGTTTTAAAAATTCGTATAAAATCGATTTCTTGGAATATGAGTATGAAAATTTTCCAAAGTGTTAATTAAATTGTCTTCTTTCCAATGAACCAACTCGTTTTGAAAATTAACTTTTAGTTTTTGAGAAAACAGTATTTGAAGTTTTGATAAAATTTTCGATATTGCAAGTTTCATCGATAACTTTCAAAATTCGCTATAAAATTTATTTCTTGAAGGATCCTTGTGGAAATACCACCAATTATTAATTAAAGTATCGTCTTTTTAATGCAAAAAGCCGTTTTGAAAAATCACTTTTAGTTCTTGAGAAATAAATTTTTTAAATAATCGACAATTTTTTCAAATTTTGCAATTTTCGCCGATTAAGTTCAAAATTCGTATAAAATCCAGTTCTTGGAATATGAGTATGAAGATTTTCCAGTGTTAATAAAAGTGTCCTCTTTCCAATGAACAAACTCGTTTTGAAAAATAACTTTAGTTTTTGAGAAAACAGTATTTGAAGTTTCAATAAAATTTTCGATTTTGCAATTTTCATCGATAACTTTCAAAATTCGCTATAAAATTCATTTCTTGAAGGATCCTTGTGGAAATATCACCAATTATTAATTAAAGTATGTTATTTTTAATGCAAAAAGCCGTTTTGAAAAATCACGTTTAGTTCTTGAGAAATAAATTTTTGAAATAATCGACAATTTTTTCGAATTTTGCAATTTACGCCGATTAAATTGAAAAATCAGTATCCGCTCCATCACTACTTATTTTCCATCTTTCTCACTTTATGTTGGAGCTTTGATTGCAATTCTATCAACATATAAGCTTGATAACAACAATTTTTACATTAATAAGTTTTAAACTCACTAATCTCATTAATTCTAAACCTCTTATAAATACGAAATTAATTCAAGAATTAATCTTTAACATTTAATTTAACGTAAAATTTTTTTAACCTTGTATTAATCAAAAATTAAATGAAAACCCATGTGGTTTTCACTGATAAAAATGCGTACTAATTAAAATTATTCTAAGAATTTAATGACGTAAGCGTCGGTTTTTAAAATCTATTTCTTGGAATATGAGTATGAAAATTCAATCCGAAACGTTCACCTAAAATAAAAATTAAATAATACGAAAAATCAAATCATTTATTTTTCTCTTCTTACCAATACAATTATGAGGTCCTGATCCAAAAGGAATATACGCATATTGATGCCTTTTATTAATTTCTTCATCACTAAACCTTTCTGGATCATATTTTTGAGGATTATTCCAATATTTCTCATCATAATGTAATCCAAACATCGGAATATAAACTGGAGTACCCTTTTCAATTATTATGTCAGTTCCAGGTAATTTATAATCAGTATTACACATTCTATCTAAAAATGGTAATACAGGATATTTTCTTAAAGTTTCCATTATGCACATATGATGATCTATTGAAATAACATTATTCATAATTTTCAAGGAATCTAGATTAAAAAGGGAAGATAAACAATTTGATTAAGAGAAATGTAGTTACAATAATAGTTATTTTGCAAATTAATTAATTAATTGACTCAACAAATCAGTTTTTAAACCTGCATCTCAAAGCAACAATCAAACATTTTAATGATACATATAAAATTATTATTGTTGTAAAAATTGTACATAAAAGCAATGTTTTATATAAATATTTTATTTTATAAGAAACAAATTACAAAATTAATTACATTTTTTTAGACTTAACATTATTAATACATAATACATTTTCTTATTAATCTTTTTCCAATCGAAAAATTCTTGAAAAAACTGGTCTCATTAAGCAGACACATTTTTCCCTTTTATTTTTTATTTCAATTTTAATTGACCCAAAAACGTAAAAATCTAATTTACATTTGACTAGAGGAATTCAGTCTAAAAGTTACACATTTAAAGAGTTCACAAATATTTTGCCACATGGTACAACCCAATGAATCTTTCCTAACCGTTACTAATACATTACTGTATCAAGCAAGTTATTATTAAAATATATTAAATAAAAACTAACAACAGTTTAATATCGTAAGAATAAAATTGGAGATATCTAGAGAATCACCTAAGTAGAGCAATAATCTAATTTCCTCTGGTTGTATTTAATGTGGTAATCTTTACCCTCATAGTGAATGGGTACTTGGGTTTCTTTCGGGACAACCGGAAAGCAACACCATAGCACAAACGCTACAAATGCCACAATTGTCCCTATTAATAGGATGAAGTCTTCAATAGTCTAAAATGTTAAAAAGTGATTAATTGACTGAAAATATATTTTTTACAAAAACGTACTGGTTCCTCTCCTAATAAAACGTTGTTTACCAGGTAAACGAAATCATCGAAAGGTGTAATCATCGTTGGATGAGATATTTATCTACATTTTTTAAAAATTATTTTTTTTACACTCAGACAGATCGTTTTAATTGATAATTTTCATTTCTGGTTGTCGCAAGATTGCGATCTGCAGCTGTTGGTAACCATTCATATAATTTTGACGTTTGTCCAACGACCTTTCAAGAATTGAAATAACAAATAATTTTAATATCTTTAATGCTTAAATAATTAAAAAAGTTATAATTTAACAACAAAATCAACATTTATAATTAAATTAATTCATATTAACATGTTAAAATCATAATAAACGTCAACATTTATATTTTGTAAATCTATGATTTAGGGTACGTTCTAAAACGGGCGGAGTAAAAGAATGTTTGTGACAGCGACAAACGTCACAACGGATCAGTAGGTATTTGGATTCCGACGAAGTTAGTAATCAAACAAACAAAAATGGCGAAAAGTGTGTGTTACGAGAGAATATTCTTAGTGTATTCTTTGGTTATTTTATCATTATTGCAATCGTATTTAGCGAAAGGTAAGTAAAAACTTAAAATTAAATATGAAATATGTCGTTATAATTCAAAAATGTTATTAAAATCCGGTTGAAATGTCGCAGAAATTTCACGTAGGAAGAGGAGGAAGGTGCGTTGCACTCAGTCTTTAGTTGTTTATTAACTTTTTTTAACCAAATTATTACTTTAAATGATGAAATAGTAACTTGCGTAGAAGTAAGAACGTTAAATTTAACATTTTAGAGTAAAAGAAAAGATTTTTAAAAGTAGGAAAGTGGATAGAAAGTTATTTTTTGGTTGTAGGAGAACTCGAAAGATATCTCTTGTCGTTTTAAAAGAAATCGCAATTGAAAGTTATGAGTTATAAAGATAGACGGAGTTTGCGTTTAAAATTCTTGGGCTATTTACAGAATATTTTTGTTTTATTTAGAGTATATGGGCACGAAATGCTTAAAAAAACCTCCTCGTGAGAATCCACTTTATTTTTATACCTACAAACAGGTTTGCGCGCTAATTTCTAAGTGTAGGAAAACTTGTTCGTCATTTACATTTTGTTGTCTTCATATTTTATAGCTTCCATGAACAATGATTTTGTATTATTGATTAATTTACTAAAAACTTCACTGTTTATTTATTTCCTGAACCATAAAAAGAAGAACCATGATAGTTAAATTAGTTGGACATGGAACATAAGGCATCCCATTGTCTTCCGATATAGGAACACGACTTCCTCTTGGTAGGAAACTGTTATCCCAAGCAAGACGTGTGACGAATAACGAAACGGTTCGTTTGCTGTTACTATGAAATTACAAAAGTTTACAATCAAAACGTGATTCTAAAAATATCTAAAAAATTGAATAATAAAATATTATATTCTTTACTTCCTTAGAAGTCGGTACCCAGTCAATTTTTGAAATTAAAAGATTGAGTTAAAAAGAAACATCTAGAAATTGAGTTGAACCCAATTCAAACTAATTTAAGATAATTATTTGTGTTATAAGCGAAAATTAAGGTTTGCTTTGTTTGATTGGGATCAAGTGTGAGTTTCTAATTAGAAATTTTTAACTAATATTGTTGTAATTTTGTATATAATTTTGTACTGATGAGGGAACCCACTGCATTCAAAATAAGTGGTTTTATAATTAGATGTAATGTTAATGAGATATAAGTATACAGGTGTCCTACCTAACTGGTTCCTTAGAAGTTTTTGAATAACACTAGCACTAATAACAACTCTAATTAGAGCTAACACTAGAACTAACACTAGACCTAGAACTAGAATCATTCCGGTTTAGCCGTGCCTTAACCGTAACCCGAAACTTTCTAGTTCTAGGTCTAGTGTTAGTTCTAGTTTTACACTATCATTAGAATTAACACAAGACCTAGAACTAGAATCATTCGGGTTTAGCCGTCTTGAGAGACGTGCGGCTAAATCCGAAAGTTTCTAGTTCTCGGTCTAGTGTTAGTTCTACTGATAGTGGTAGGTAGCATTAATTAACATATCACTATGTTGCATACTTTTATTGAACTAAAACTAGAACTAACACTAGACCTAGAACTAGAATCATTCGGATTTAGCCGTCTTGAGAGACGTGCGGCTAAACCCAAATGTTTCTATTTCTAGGTCTAGTGTTAGTTCTGGTTTTACACTAGCACTATCACCAGAACTAACATAAGACCTAGAACTAGAATCATTCGGGTTTAGCCGTCTTGAGAGACGTGCGGCTAAATCCGAATGTTTCTAGTTCTCAGTCTAGTGTTAGTTCTAGTTTTAATTCAATAAAACCACAACAATCTAGCGCTCAATAATCTAAAAGTGTACAGCTATATGCGAAAAAGATTTAACTTGAAAGTTTTTTATTGCTATAAGTGTTGTGCAGTTATCCAGGTTTCGTAGCTCGATCACTTCTTAGAAGCACAGTTGGTGTACTATCTTCGATTCCCTCAAGTAAACTTAGAACTAAAAGCCTTGTGGTTTCCTATTCATCAGTGGTTCTTCATCTTTGCAATCGATTTGGTGTCCACTCATCTACCATCGGTACTATGACAGTCAGCAGATGTCAGTCTCGAAAAAAAAATTTTATTCTTTAGAATGTAGAGCCTTATTTCTACCATAGGGAAGAAACTAAAATGTTTCTGAATACCTGATATGCCAATGTAATGTCTCAAATTTGTTTCGGTTTACTTCTCAGCAATTTTGTTATCTTCTTCATTTCCACTTTTGAAATAGCATCTCAAGTTTTTTTTCCACTTCCATGCCCGTTTGAAACCTTTCAGTAACAACGGTTTGTGTATCAATAAATGTCGTTCTATAAGCTCCTTTTAATCTATTTAGTTAAGTGCAGCCTGCAGCTATACTTTGTCGCCTTAAAGTTACAGTTCGTAGTCTGTGATTGGCTGTTGTTCTTTAAATTAAGTATTCGTACTTGGGATTGAAGCCTATTGCCATAGTTTGCCGCCTATAATTAAAATTCGTAGTGTGATCAGCTAATATCCATTAAATTGTGCAAGAATACTTGGAAATGCGGGCTGCAGCTATAATTTCTCGAATACAGTTACAATTCGTAGTCTGTGATCGGCTGCTATGCTTTAAAATATGCAAGAATACTTGGGAATGCATCCTACAGGTATAGTTTGTCGGCTATAATTACAATTCGCAGTTTATGATTGGCTGCTATGCTTTAAATTATGCACGACTACTTGGGAATGCAACCTACAAGTATAGTTTGCGATACACAACTTATGAAGCAAACTACAATGTTCAGTTTCCAACTATAATTTCTAGTTTCCTGCTGCGCTGTACAATTTATGTGTATGACTTGCAGTTTTTTAATAATTTGTAGCTTTCGATTATGGTCTGTAGCTATAGTTGGGAGTATGCTATCTGTAGTCTACATTGTATACAGTTTTTAGCTATAATTTCCATTATACAGTCGATAGTTACGTAGTCTGTAGGTATGGTATGCTCTCTGCAGATGTAGTCTTCAGGATTTCGTGTATTATTTTGTTGGCAATTTTATTATTTCCATTTCATAATAAGCTGGGTGGAAACAATGATCCTATTTAATATAATAGTAGCACGGAATCCCTTAGAACTCCTCAGACTCCCTGGGGAGACATAGCCTAGAAGGGGTCGAGAAAAATTTACTTCTTCGTCTTTAAAAATGTGTAGTCTAAAGTTAGTCTACGCACTGGTAGAGAAGAAATAGCTCCCGTAGTGCGCAACAAGGTATGGTTTAAACTTTTCGCCAAATTAACTTTCTCCAAGAGACCAATAAATCAACGGAGACATAGAGAGTAAATCAATTTCACCTCGCTTTGAGATACCATCTTTATTGACTTCCAAAGTTTTATTGCAACACCTTTTAAGATAACAGGGTTTTTGATTGGTAATTTAAAGATGGTAATAAATACCTGTAGTTCTCGAAAACGGTAGATTCAATAATATATTTTAATATGGTTTATCTTTTATTTGCCAAAAAAATTATTTCAATAGATAAAATTAAGTTAAATTTGTTTATATGCTTCTATATATTTATATTAAAATGAATTTCCTGGAAGTGATAATAAAATAATATTTAGCAAAACATTGATAAAAAGCGTTGCTGATAATATAATTCAAAGAATTTTGTTATAAAAGTAAACTATGTTGGTTCATAAATCACAAAGGAATTAGTGTATTCATTCATTTCATATTCACGATTTACTTCAGTCGTTGACCTCTTATTATTTAACCTTATATACAAATTGTATAACCAACGTTTATTATAGCTGATTAAAAACATTGAGTAGCCTAAACAATCCTATATTGATACAATTCAAGATAAGTAATATACATAACGGCGCAGATAATAATAAAGTAAAAAGAAAGGTAGTAATTGAATCCGTTCCAATTGTTTTGCCGTGTGTTTCGCTTTATAGAGACCGGATTCAAAGTCCAACAGACTGTATTTGTAATATACGATCATGAAACTGTGTGCGTCGTCGTCTATTAAAATCTGCATAATGCTAAACGCACATTTGTGATACTATACAAGTGTAACTAGACTATTTACATTCGTTATTCAAGGTCAGTTCGGTTTCTCGAAGAATTAAAATTTGTTTCTTTTTTGTATTTTCAGACATTTATTTTTATACCTCCGATAACTCCATTCCAAAGCACAAAGAACTGATAGATTTTCAATTAATTAATCAACCGGAAATTAATCATAATATTCAAAGGAGGGAGGTGAATAATGGAACTACTCTTCAGCCAGGAATTCCAACAAACAATAACACTACGAAGAAGGTTTACGTTTCAGAAAAGAAAAACAATAAGAAACAAATACCGATGATAAATACCGAAGCTCCGCCTTTGACGGTGAAAAAGAATTTGGGGGAAAATGGAACTGGTACTTTATGGGCGAACGCCACAAAACCCATGCTGACTAAGGTAATGGGGAATTTAAATGTGACCAAAAATAGTCTTTCTTTACCTGATTACGATGATGATTGCGATCATTTCGAAAATTTTGATAATTTAACGAAATATTTTGAGCATAATGTCAAAGACGGAAATTATTCTGTAAATAAATCGGATACTCATATTTATTATAATAGCACCTTTACTACTTTTCCTCATATTGGTAAATATTGGGTTAATTTTGATAATGATAAAGCGATAATTCACAGTCTTTTATCAACGTCACATCGAAGAGCAGCAGTAAGTGTATTAACAAAGTTTTTTTGCTTATTTAAATTGATTGTATAATATTTTTAGACGGTAAAATTAAACTTTGATTTTCCTTTTTACGGTCATATGATTCGCAATGTAACCGTAGCCACGGGAGGTTTTATTTATACGGGAGATTACGTTCATTCGTGGTTAGCGGCTACTCAATACATCGCCCCACTGATGGCTAATTTCGACACGAGTCTCTCAAACGACAGTTATATTAAAATTTTGGATAACGGCACGAGTTTTACAGTGCAATGGGAAAACGTTCGTTTGCAGGATAATCCGAAAGACGATAAATTTACGTTTCAAGCAACATTGCATAAGAACGGCGATATCGTTTTTTCGTATTTAAACGTTCCCGAGATTATTAAATCGATTCAAGATGTTTATCATCCAGTTACAATTGGGCTTTCGGATGCTTATATTATTGATAATGCCGAACATTGTAAGAAAAAATTAAGCAACAAATTTAATTTTATAATATTGGAGTGTAATTTTTTTTTAGATGTTCATAGAAAAACTATTTTTGAATACCACAAAGTTAGTTTTGCTAAAGAGGATATAAAGAATTCTACTGTTATTTATCTTACTGCACTTCCAACCTGTCAGCAGAAAAGGGATTGTAAATCTTGTTTTGCGAATGATGATACAAACTTTAAAGTATGTATTAATATCTAGTGGATATTTTTGTAGTATTTTTTTTGGTATTTAGTGTACTTGGTGCCTTGCAACATCGAGATGTTCAAGTGGTGTCGATCGTTACCGCCACGAATGGCTTCAAAAAGGTTGCGACAAAAAACAAATATTTTCTGCATTATCTTGCGAATCATTATATACAACCGATGACGATGATGACCACGGAATCAACATAAACAACGGACACCAAGAAGCGTTAAATGATATGCTCGGATTACGACCAATTAACGCAAAGTCCCAAAATAATTCGATGGGTAGTATTTCGATACTATTTGTTGCTTTTGTTTGTATCTCCACAATCATCGTTCTTTGGATGGTTTATGCTTACAGAAATCCACATACGACGAGTGGACAAATGTTGATTAGGGTAAAAATTGTAATTTTTGTGTTATTTTAGTTATTATAATTTTAATTTCAGTATCGTCCAAGTCAGTGGAGATGGAGACGTGGAGAAGCACGATACACAGCAGCAACAATACATATGTGATACCAGTTTCTTTCAATTTTATTGGAAAAAACATTCCAAGCGGATGAAAACGGACTAAACAATAAGATCAAAAAATGCTGAGACTTTTCTTATGTTTAAAAAAGAAACTGGTAATTTATAACGTAACGACCGTGATTACGTGAATTTGCTGTGATAGAAAATTTAATTACTTGTTTTAATCTCTACAAATTAAAAAGGAAATATAATTGTGACAAAACCTCAATTAACCAAATCGTCTTCCAACACGTTATACATGGAACAAAGTGCCTTTCTTTTTGGATGTTATATTTGAAGTATTTGAAACAAATTGAAAAATATATTTATTCGTCAACATGTGCATTATTTTTAATTAATGAGAAACGTAGTTGTGCTATTAATTAATTTTTTTCTTTTCACGGTCTCGTTTAATTTAATTTTGTTAAGGATTCGAATTAATTAATATAAATATTATACATAATTATGATTTGTACAAAATGTACATGTATGGTGTATATTGTTTAAGTTTCTAAAATCTTTAACTATGTATTTTATACAAAAAGTTTTAGACAACTGACAGAACACGTTAAAAAGATTAAAGATTTTTTGGTATTATTAACATGTAAATATCGATTTATTGAATTTACGTATTATTCATCAGTTTTTTCTCAAAAAGTATAGTATTAAAGCGACAATTATTTGTTTTTATGGTGTTCTTTAATTTTATTTTACGTTTATTTGTATGTTTCACATCAACTCATTTTTATTTCATAGTTTTAATGTGTAATGTTTCTATGACTTTATTAAATCTTATACAATCTTATAAGATTGTTTTCATTTTTATATTTCCACCACAACAATTTTATAATCTCTCAATAATCTTTTTTAGGGATATGGAAACTAAAAGTATTCCTTGTTTTAATAATCTTAAGAGAAAAATTGTACTAAAAGACTTCAAGAAAAAGAAGATTAAAAATGTGTTTAAAAGTGAATTAACTGAACTTTGCCTTTGATGATGTATGCGTATAAACTAACTAACTTTCTAAGTACTTGGAATGATGCAAAAATGAAATATAAAATTTGTTAATAGGTTAATGATACCTAATATCTGAACGCCAAAATAAACATTTCCGTATCCTTTCCTGATATACCTTACAAAATGTGATGGAGTAAATAAAATTAAAGATATTTTCTTTAAGGAGTTAATACAACTAATTTAATAATTGATTTAAAAAAACCTTTCAGATATCAAGAATCTAATTCAAATAAAATTGAAACAAGTAAGATATCAAGGAATTCATCATTCAATTCACCATAAAACCGGTTTTAACGTCTTTCTGCCGCTATTTAACTCTTGCGGAAACTATTAAGAAAACACGAGAATAATTTTAATGAGGTGCCTGAACATTTAATCTCATTTTATATTCATAAGGCATTCCGCTGAATTGATAAGTTGTTTCCTAATGTTTCAAGGCAACGTGTATATAAAGATGCTAGAAAATTTATTTTAATTCTATTATAATATACTGAATCTCAACTTACAGTGTGTTGTCCTGACATAACGAAGATGTAAATTTGCATAAAAAAGTGATAAATAAAATGTATCATCGCCGCAGTAAGAGTTAACCAATATATCTTATTTTGGAGGATGTTGAATCATACGGAAGTTTGATCAAAAGTACTAAGTAATTTAGTGCGATAGAGAGATATATCATGGCTAATAGGAAAAGTATGACACTAATACATTTTAATGTTCTCAACTTTGCCCATTTTCAGACAAAGTATTGTGGACTTTCAATTACTGCTTGTCTCAGTCTTTCTACAGAAGCTTGGATTCATTGCAAATATCATCGTTTTAAAATTCTATATCCATCTGGTAATTGTGTCACGTGTTGGAATTGAACCGTCAATAACAGAATCGCCAGATTTTAGACACTTCTCAACTGCGAGCGCACATTGCTCTCTTATTTATTTATTTATACACACGGGGGTGGCAACAGGACAAAGTCCCACATAAAAGCTACTCCACTATTATATACAATAATTGTATGAACACAAAATAAAAAATCGATCAATTAATGGCCTTAAACATATGTGATCAATCCATTTCAAGGCAGAACTTAAGCCGCTGCAACGAGATAATGTACTCACACAACTGGTAGGGCGAGCACGGCATTACAAATAATTTGTTTGAATTTGTGCGGCGTGACGACGAATATGTCCAACCCAAGGCGGTCCACTGTCCTCTCCAAGCAGTCGGCGCATAAAACAGTCATAGCACAGCCGACGAGTGGGAACATGCAGATCAATGCGTGAAAGAAGATAGGAAGAATCACATTAGCCTCTGATTAACCTGAACAGAAAGCAGGCATCACTGCATGTTCTGCGCTGCGGAAGTGTGAGCATATGATACATTTACAGATTGGTAATCTGTATAAGGAAGTTATACGAGAGATACTTCAGAAACCTTATCTGAATCCTCTCTATTCTGTTAATGTATGCGTCATACTGAGGCTTCCAAACTGTACTGCCGAACGATAAAATATTATTAACGAAAGCATTGTATAAAGAAATAATAGGTCTAGGGCTGCAAAACGACGGAAGGGCGCATTACAAATCCCAGCATCCTGTTAGATGTGGCCACCACTGCATCAACGTATTGATCAAACAGTAGTTTGCTATCTAAAGTAATACCCAGGTCTTTAATAGTGCCAACACGATTCAGTAAGCATGTTCCGCACCGGTAATCAAACTTAATGAACTGCTTTTTTCTCGTAAAAGTAACATTCCGACACTTCGATATGTTAAGTGACAAATTATTAATCTCACAAAAATCATAAAATCTGCTCAGGTCATTCTGAAGGTTAACGCAGTCTGAAACAACAGCAACAGGAGAAAATATTTTAATGTCGTCAGTATACATAAGATATCTTGAGGTAAGAAAAAACTTGGTGATGTCACCTAAGTACACCGTAAACAAGAGCGGGCCCAGATGACACTCCGGAAGACATAACAGGACCGGACGAATATCCACCAACCCCAACCACCTTCGTGCGATTGGAGAGGTACGCAGCAAACCAGCTCAAAAGGCACCTGCGACACCAACGCGCTCCCACTTCAACAGTAATAAGCTTTCTCAAAAGCTTTGCTAAAGTCAGTGTATATCGCATCTACTTGGATGTTTTTATCAATAGTCGAAAAAAGAAAGTCGGTATATTCTAACAAGTTGGTGTCCACAGATCGCCCCAGATAAAAACCGTGTTGCTTCGTACACAGGGCTTCATCTGGAAAAATAGCCTGCTGTAAACCCATCTTTCAAAGATTTTTCCCATTATTGGTAAAATAGATATAGGACGGTAATTAGTTACAAAACCACGATCTCCTGACTTAAAAATAGGCGTAATTTTCGCTCGTTTCCACACAACATATCCAGATAAATATTGTGATTAACTTTTGCTAACTGATTTAATGAGCACCAGAATTACGAAAATATTTGGACGACATACTGAAGTTATTTTTTGATGAAATAAAGGTGTCCTATGACCAATATCCATGAGAATAGCTGCAGCGATAAAGAAGACGAGAAAGCAGTAAATTTGCCAAAATTATGAACTTTACACACTACATAGCTTAAGTATCTTTTTCTTAGCATTACTCAGACACATTTCTTTGGATTATGTCAGTGTGATCAATTTTTATATAAAGGGGTTAGAAATCAGTGATGGGTTGAACAAATCTCCCACACCATCGCTGTTCCCATCTAAACCATTCCCTTTCTCCCCCGGAACCGACCCATAAGGGGTTACTTCCGTGTGTCTGCAAAAAATCATGTTTCCACAACTCTTGATCGTTTCTGCCTGATACTTTCTACCATTCCGTAACTGCATTCCAGTCGTTTTCTATATTAAGCATTAATCCTATCGTGTTGTCTTTATTTCAGTATACCCGCATTTCTTTGTCTACTCAATTTTTTACGCAGAAACAAAATGTATTTAGTTGTGTCTCATTTTGGTAATACCTTTCTTGTGTTTTCTGCCTTTGTTATTTTAAACAAGTATTTCTTAAACACTTTCTGCTCTATTAGTACCTGAGTAAGCTATCGCGGTCCATCTATCTTCTCTGCCATGCTTTTATCACCTCTCGGCATTCTTCTATTATTTACTTTCCTCTTGCGTAGAGTTCCGACCTTTCTCAATAGCTATCGCGAGTGTTTTGTTTATTTGGTGTCTTCTGTTATGATTGTTGGTCTTCGTGTCTTGATTACTGGCCTCTCATACTTGTGATTAATTTTAAGACAACATCAAAATTGCTTCCTTTGTGGTCTCCATTACATACACATGTTCCTATCTAAAAACACCCAAATACTTCATTACTAAGTATTTCTATGCTATTAACTTGCAAGTAAAGATTCATTAATTTTTGCCTATCCTGAAATGGTACCAATCAGGTGTTTTGCTTAATTATACTTCCTTAAAACTTGTGATCACTCGTAGAACTGCGTAAGCAACATTATTTTCAAAGCAGCTGTGTCGCATCTTTGCCCTTAACCACGAGAACTAGTTCGTCCATATGCTCTATTACTTACACCTCAAGTTCCAGGCGTGTTCAGATTTATCTTGTAATACAAATTCCATACAAATAGCTTAATAAAGATCTCTATGGTACTCCGCATGAAACTTTCTAGACTTTTCATCCAGAATGAGTGTGATCCAATCGAGACCAATGTTTCAGTTGAATTGAGGGATTAATTGGGAACCGTATTAGCCACTTTGGGTACTACTGTGTTAGTATACGATATTTTTAGCGACCCAAAATTAAATATGAGTTGAACTCATATCTGTTCTAAATTAAAGACGATGTACACATTTCCTTAAGTGTCTACGTCCGTCTTAACCATTACAGATACATTCTGCAAGATACACCGTATTGAAGATAAACAATTGTAAGTATTAACATATATATTTCATTCATTGTTTATGTTATTTTAGAAACATCAATAGGTTCGGAAATCATTACGGATGGTTGGTATAAGTGGGACTTTAAAGATGTGTTAAAAATCGTCCAAGCAATTTTATGTATAGCATGTTAATTGGAAATTTAAAATTGAGTTTATTTTAAATATATTTTTTAAAATGATATTTTCAATTAAATTCAAGATCATTAACCCTCCACGTTACGTTATAGAACCAAAAGAATGTAATCCACGATCGTGTTACAACCAGCTTGAACTGAACTCGTTGAACTAGAAGATAAATTTCTCTTGGAAACCTTACAACATCCCAACCTATAAACAAGACATGTCGAAAAAACCAGTTCACAATCGCACTTAAACCCATTCACAACCTCGTCCAAATGGTTCAACCCGAAAAAGCTCTACTTTTAGATAAACCCGAACCGAAAAAAAGTGGCTTATCGACATTTTTAGCCGCGATATGTATCGTCGACGTTTTTGGTGTTTTTCCCATCGTAGCTTTGGCAAAACCAATTTTAAATTGTGGTAAAATTTATTTTATTTATTATAATTAATTTGTATTAACTTTTTTTGTTTTAGGCGAATATGGGATTATTATATTGTTAATTGTTGTGGTAGTTCAGATGTATACAGCGATTTTATTGGGAAAAAGTTGGATGATTGCTCGAAATATTAACGATAATATACAAGAAAGATGCCCTTATAAAGCTTTAGCTGAATTATCTTGTGGTACAAAAGTTGCTGGATTTGTTAGTTTATTGTTAAATATTACTATTTTTACTGCTGGCGTACCAAATATAATCGTAGGTAAGAATTACAAAATAAAAATTAATTAAAAAGTAAATAATTTTTGACTTGAAGCTTCACAAAACTTGGAATTATTAGGAGTACGAATTTCTGATTTTAATTTGTCTTATTGTTATTGGATGATTGTTATTGGTATATTTATTTGTCCGATATTATGGTTGGGAAGTCCGAAAGATATGAAGTAAAACAATGAAACAAACAGGTTCTTAGAAATGTAATGATTAATTTGTTTCTTTTGTAGGTGTTTATGTGCATCTTCTGTGATGATTGTTATTCTCGTGTTTTTGTTGCTTATAATTTGTTTACTTAAAATTGAAGAATCTCCAAGAAATTTTCCTTCCGATTTAACTTTAACATTTTTGGAAAATGTAGCTTTAGCTTATGGAGTAATTTCATTTCAATTCGACATCCATCCAACGATTTTAACGATTCAAGTCGATATGAATAATCAAAAAAATATTTCAAAAACTATTATTATGGGTTTTTTGATTACTTTATCGATGTTTGGAGTAGTGTATAAATTAATTTGTGTCAAATTCGGAATGAGTATATCAGAAAGTTTATTGGAATCATTACCACCAACGATTTTTTTACATTTATGTGCTCTATTAGTGGCGTTTCAATTAATTTTATCATTAGCTGTTGGGAATACAGCTTTGTACCAACAAATTGAAAATTCTTTAGGAATTTCAAGAGATTTTAACTTTTATAGGTGCATAATAAGATCGTTTATAACAATTTTAGGAGTAATTATAGCTGAGTCTGTGCCAAGATTTGATGTTGTAATGGCGGTTATTGGAGGAACTTTAACAGGTCCGTTAATTTATATTTTTCCCCCGATTTTTTACATAAAAATGTTACATTTAAAAAGTGACGCATCCGATGATTTATTAATGGAAGATATCATTCAAGATCCGTCTAAATTGCAAGAGATTCACGTAAAATACGGATTTTCTTATATGAATCGTTATAAATCATCCATAAAATTATCAAAAACCGAAAAAATCGAATTTTTTATATGCATATTAGTTTTAATTTTTGGAATTTTAGGAACAATAGCGACTACTTACGTTAATTTAAAAAATGCTTATATATTTAGTAACTTTACAAGTCCTTGTATTTATAATTTAACCGTTTTGTAATTTTTAATTTGTTTATCGCATCGTTGTATAAGAATAATTGTTATTGTTGAAGTTGAAGCGATTTTTCTTAATTAAAACGTTCGCACTTACATTTAAAATATTCCAGTATAGATTGTGTAGAGAGGAAATTGCCAACAATTTAACAATTATCCTCTAAATGAAATGTTACGCGTTCATCAGAATTAAACAAAAAATAGGCATTTCCTTTTTGTTATCAAAATCGTATACAAAACCATTAATACTAATTAAATACAAAGACTTAACATCAATCTTTTGATCTACTTTCCCCAAACTGTCCAAAACAAAATAAATAAACCTACAATTTTAACTTGTTAAGGAATTTACTTAAGAGTTACAGATTTAAAGAAAGGTCGCGATTTGTTAAACTATTTTCCGAGAAGACGGAGACTGGTACCTGTGGGGCTTTCCTACCTGGCAAGAAGAGAATTTAAGCGTCTCATTGTCACGTTCGTGAAGTAAAAGTAGGTTAGAACGAGAACCACACAGTGTCAGAGTTTTTAGCGTCGTTCCGGCCGTTCGACTTTGGAAGAGAGACTTCGAAAATGTTTAAACTCAACGTAGACGAGGAAAGTGCCATCATCATCATCTTCAAAAGGAGAGAGACCCTAATTGGAACATTCTAGAAATGTTCCGAATGCGTCATTATGCAATTTAACATCCAATCTCAACTGAGAAAATAAGATCACGATCCATTTTAACTCATTTATAGTTTATTCACAGAAAAAAATTAATTTTTAATCAAAATAATCATTTTTTTTTGTTTATCAGCATCTTTTATCTTCTAAATAACTATTTAACGGTTTAAAATTTAGATTGAACTCTACATCAGCCTGAGTAATATACATATTTTTTTAAGTGTTAAGTTCTCCCCTCCTTCTAGTTTTTGAACAGCGCAGGAAGACACTCGTTTATAAATACGAACCGGTTGCACTCCTGCGTTCACAGTAAGTTCAATCAGCGGAAGGTAAAACGGCGTTTAAAACACAAATACACAGAAATAAAATAAAATACAAGCGGTTGTGAGTGTCATCAACCTAAAAGGATGGGCTCAAGAGCGATCGTTTTCAGTTTCCTGCTTTTGTTCTTTTTACAAGTCAATGGACAAATCTTAGAGTAAGTTTTTAATTACTTTATTTTCTTTTATATTAAGTTAGTAAATATTTTTTATTTCTAATAACGTAACCTGAACGTAATTTAAATTTGCATTGAATAACAAATGTTGTCTTAGTTGGCATTTTAATCGTGCGAAGAAATGTTAAACTCAAAAGGTGTATTGAGTATTACGTTTCAACATGTTTTATTATTTTTAAAGCTGTTTTTTTCTTTCTTTGGGAACGAAATGTAACAATTGGATGGGTTTTATAACTGTAAATTAATCCCAATGCGAATAAGAACAAAGAATTACAGTGTTTTTGTTTAAATTAAGACTTTTTAAGTGTTGAAAATGGAAATTGGTTATTGTTCTTTGTCTGCTTTAACATCTTTTATATTGAGAGTAGCTTTCTTAGAAGGTTTCTCTTTATATTAATTGTTTTAAAATTAATCTTTATATAGAAATTTGTAAAAGAAATTAAATTTATAAGTTTCTATAGGAGAATAATTTTCAAACATTTTTTTTAATGCAAATTCCCTTATTATTTTATCTTATATAAATACAGAACTCGCGAGTCTAAATATCAATTAGCCTAGGATTTTTGCATAACCAGAATGGTCAGTTGTGGAGTCAATTGCAACTATTTAGAGGTGTGTCGTTTCATTTCCGAAGTATCTCATTTTTAGATTCATCGTCTTGTTTATAAACACAACTGAGAAAATTGCCAACAAATGAGAGACGTTCTGAATGTGTTTGTAGTTATCCGCGAGCACTGGCTGCTTTTGGCAACTCTTTCACATCTTCATTGGCAGAGAAACTCAACACTATAGAGTAGCGTTTTTTAAGTCTATTGTTTATTTTTCTAGTAACAAAGACAAAAGTTTTTTCTGCCAGAATGTTTTCGGTAGGACATCGATTAGCAGGAATATTTTGTGGTAGCAAAGCAACAAGATGCTGCATTATTTTAATTCTATTCGTAGATGAACCCAACCCAACCTATTTCATTATTGACCAGGTGGATTAGGGATAGTAAAATTTGCAATTACGAGATATTGTGTTGTGCGTCACATCTAATTTGTAATAACAAACCGTAAAAGACACTCACTTTATCTTATAGGTCATCAACATGATGTGAAAATTGAAGATTATGATTGCAACTCATTGCAAATTTGAAATAATACCATGATTACATCGGCTTTTTAAATCCAGAAGGTCTGAATCGTCATCAGAAACAAGTTTTGAAATCTTTATTGGATTTACGTATGAGTTATCGAAATCATCGTTACAGTTATCCAGTATTTTGATTATTTGTTTTTCATTTACTGTTTTTCTGAAAAATGGCAGCAAAAAAAAATTGTCTGCAATAGTACATTTTAGAAGTAGCGCCGAAACTATAATTTTTATTCTTACTTTCAACCCTTATAACTTAGCTATACACATGTAAAGAAATATGTTAATCTTATTTTACCTCATTCTAGAAGTATGCTAAATTTTGTCGCCATTAGTGGGTGGTATTTCTGATTCATTCACTTCAATTCATGCAAATATGTCAACAGAAATCAAAGGTGATCAATGCTAAAGCAAACAACTTATGGTATTAATTGAATAAAGATTTTACAACATTCTTTCTTCGTGTTAAGGACAACTTCAAAAAGATTTCAAACAATGTCATTTAAAACGTATCTATCTATCGATGAACAACTTTGTCATTGAAAATAAACTACATAAAAACCTCATATATGGATTTCTCATAAATCAAGCATTTCTTGTAAGTTTAATTTAGGAAGTTTATTATAATAACTTCAAAATGAACCATCCTAGTCATAATCAGGAAGCATAAAAATTTGCATCCTAAAAACTTACAACAGTATATAGAAAAAACACTTCTTCTTCTTCTATTATCGCTACAGCCCAAGGTTGTCTTTGGCTTCCTCCACTATTCTCTTCCAGTCCCTTCGGTTTTCAGCGACTCTCTTCCAATTCTTGATCTTCAGTATTTTTGCATCATCCTCCAACGTATCCTTCCATCTCGTGGTCTGCCTCTATTTCTTGTACTTATCAGAAGAAACACTTATGGGGTCATAAGTAATGAGCCATATAAAAAACATACATTACAACAACCAAAAACTTGATTGGTAAGTTCAAAAGAACTGGTAGTGTTTGTGATACACTGTTTGCAATGTTAGTTGTAGAGCAGCCAAACTAACGCGTGACTTTGCGATAAATCGTTCTTCAAAATCTGCTCTTTCCTTACAAAATTCAAACTTCTCAGTCAATCAGTGAGAAGTCATTACCATTGAATAATGTTTAAGGTTCCTGAAATAAAAATTTGATGTGAATATGGGTTGGGGTAACGACGAAGCCCGCTTTCATTTCATGGGTACATCAATAAGTAGAAAGTCACTGTTGGTGTGCAATGTCAAGTTGTGGAATAATACGTGCGATTAGAAAATCGTCTCATCTCTATTATCCAAAGTGATCCAGAACTCAAAAAATGTGGATGGAGCAACCTCATCGAACCAATAGAACGTTTAAAGGATATATAGTATAGAAGACTGTATTTTGACCATGAGAAGATATGCAAAGGTCACTGCAATAGAAATCGCTTGGTTGCAACAAAGGAGACGTTCTGATCTTGCTTGTAGTTATCTGCAAGCACTGGCTGTTTTTGGCAACCCTCTTACATCTTCATTGGCAGAGAATGAAGACAATGTTTTCCCCAGGACATCGATTAGCAGGAATATTTTGCATTTCTATTTAACAAATAGAACGTTTAAACTCCTAGAAGACTGTATTCTGACCTTAAGAATTTATCCAAAGATCACTGGAATAGGAATCAATTGGTTGCCATATTTTTCTGGTCCCTATCCTTGTGCTCATTTTTATAAAGCAGTAGTAAAGGCAAAGCAACTAACCCCGAAACCAGCCCGGAATTCAAACTATTTGCCTAAATATAGAAAAAGTGCTGTTTTTTTTCTATATTATCTTTAAAAGAATCGTTAATTACTTCTAATTTATAACTGTTTCTTCTTAATTGAACTAATGACCTTATAATTGAACTAAAAAAACTTATTTTTTACATAACACGTAATCGGCTTATTTATTTTTTTGCTTTATTTGCATTGAACGGAAACGGACGTTCGGTTGTTACATTCAAAAAGGACTCGCAAAAGAACTTAACAAACACCTGGAGAAAATGTTTTTCAAAAAAACAAAGTGAATTCTGAAATTAATTTATTTATAAATAAAAAACTTGAGTAATTACGAAAAACTTGAATAATTACAAAAAAAAACTTGAACTATCATAAAAGAAACTTGTATAATTACAAAAATTTATCATCTCAATTTAACATTAAGACAATTTCTTTTTTCTACATCTTTAATTTCTTTTTTAACCTCAGAAGACTTCTCGGTCGAGTCAGGGTCAAGGTAAAAATAAATAGCGTCTTTCCATTGAGAGAAAGAGAGAAGAACAAACAATAAGCGGGCGGATGACACACATTTTATTTATTTTTTTTTCGAAATTTAGAAAGGCGTCCTTATTCACTACAATCTGGTTATTGACATTATATTTTCTCCAGGCTCTTTTAAAACCATCCAATCTTTACATATTGACTACGTTATTTTCCATCGTTTCAAAACATATTTATTATTCCAGATTCTAGAAACGGTTTTACTAATTACACTAAACGCAGCATGTGTGTTGTAAAATCGTTTTTGCTTTTTTAATTGAGATGACTCATTTTTTTATGAGTGAGTATGTGTAACACAAGGTCAAGAAATATTTTCTTGCTATGATTAAAATGTTTAGAGATTGGATTTTTTCTTTGGGGGGTTTAAAATGGATTTGTTTTTATAATGGAGAGTTGTTGAAAGTTAATGTTTTTAACATCGTTAATTTCGTATGGACAACGTGGCTTTTATGTTATGGTTTTGAATAATTCAGAGCTTCGGGGGCTTTTATTGGTTGCGCGTGACAAATTCAGCAAAACACCTGGTGGAGAAAATGAACAATGCTCAATAAAAATGAAATTGTTCTAAATAAATCATGTTTTTATTGTATTTATTTTTTTGTTGTTTTAGTTTTGCCGCTGCTGGTGATCCATTTGGTGGATCATTTTGGCCTTTTGGTTCTCATTTTAATTTTTTCCGCCCGGCTCCTCAACCATGGTGGAAAGGGTAAGTTACAGAACCCATTAATTTTAGTTTCTTGCAGCAACCAGATTCCTTCTGCAAATAATCCTTTTCCTTAGCATTTTCAAGTTCGTTAACCTTTCACTCAACGTGAACTCAACTCGTCTTATTACGTTTGCATTAGTTTTTAGCGACAACAGTACTTTTTTTACGTAGTTCCCCTCATTCAATTCCGTTATTAAAGATAACTGTAATCTAGAATCTCAATTTATTGTTTATTTTATTATTATGATTATCTTTTTCTTATTGTTTTATTGTGTTTTTACTATAATTATATCGGTTTTAACCTCGGATAATTAACCAAGGATTTGTTTTATGTTCAACAAACCATTGAGTAGGTTTATGCAGCGTTGAACACGAATTACTAAGCAATTTTATTCGTCATGGATATCTAACACCATCTGTGTTCATCGAAATTAGTTTTATTTTTAGATTTTCTTTTGAATAGAAACCGACTTTGATCTTGATAGAAAAAAATCTAGTTTATTTCCAATTTTAATTTCTAATTAGAAAAAAAAAAAAAAATGAAATTAACGTTTTATTTTACATTTTTAGTCCAAATGTTTGCATCGAACGTCGCCAAATTGGTAAAGATACTGAAAATGAAACAAGAAGCACTGAAAATGTTGATCCGGATGCGATAGCGAATCATTTTGAAGCTGCTCTAACATTTTCGAGTTGTATAGAAACTCCAGATAAATATGAATGCACCACAAAGTAAGTACAGTAAAAGCATGAACTAGAAAGTTTCAGGTTTAGCCATCCATCTGTTTTGACCAGCCGTCTAGTTTTAGTTCAATAAAAAATATACAACGATTTAACACTAAATAACAACTAAAACTAGAGATAACAGTAGCATTAGAACTAACACTAGACCTAGAGCTAGAATCATTTGGATTTAGCCGTCTTAAGAGACGTGCGGCTAAATCCGAATGTTTCTAGTTCTAGGTCTAGTTTTAGTTCTGCTTTCCATGAACTAACACTAACACTAGACCTAAAACTAGAAACTTTCAGGATTCGCCGTCTTAAGAGACGTACGGCTAAACCCGAATGATTCTAGTTCTAAATCTAGTGTTAGTGCTAGTGCTAGTGTTTATGCGTGACGTCACGAATGGTATTTTTTACAGAACGAACGTTCATGGTGATGAAAAAACCCATAATGTAAGATACAAATGTTGTCACGGTTATGTTAAATCACGAAGACAACAAATTTGTATTCTTCAAGAAGAAATGAAACCTTTAATGGAAGTTTTTGATAAATACAACGGATCAAATTTTAAAAACTTGGTGAAAGATGTTAATTTCGACGAAAAATTCGCAAAAACCAATTACACCGTGTTTTTACCTCAAGATTCTTCTCTAGACAAATACGTTGAACAATTATCTGATATGGTAAATAAAAAATAAAATGAAAAAATTAAGTTAAAATTAAATTTTTTAGAACCAAATTGAAGTAACCAAACGAGAATCATCAAATTCGGCTAACGAGATGATTTTAAACCACATAATTCCGGGAATTATCGACTTAAACGATTACTCAAACGAAGATATTTTATACACGTACTTAATTACAATAAAAAAAAAATAAAAAAATTTTATTAATTCTAATTTTTAGTGAAAACAACAACAGCACAATTAGATTAAATTTTTATCCAACTCCTAATGGTGGAAAATTAGTAACGGCAAATTGCGTTAGAATTCCAAAAGCAAACATTTTCGCTTCAAATGGAATGGTTCATTTGGTCGATACGGCTATAGAAAGTCCAAAATCGACCATACAAGAAATAATCGATCAAAATCCTAAATTTAGCACTTTTAAATCGGCTTTAGAAGCTTCCGACCTCCAAGGAATCCTCAAAGAACCCGGCCAACACACCGTTTATTTACCCACAAATGAAGCTTTTGATGCTTTAGATGAAACAACGAAAGAAAAAATATTAACAGGAAAAGGATGTGCTGCAAGTAACTACCCAAAAATAAAAAATAAATCATTATTTTCTAATTTAAATTATTTTTAGCAATCTTAAAACATCATTTAACAACACACACCGTTTGTACCGCCGCTGTAATTCAAAACGCAACTGTTCATGATATGGATATTGATATAATCAATATGGAGCGTAAAAACGATGAAGTTTTCATCGATGGAAAAGCTAAAATTATCGAGGGTGACATTTTAGCAACAGACGGGGTTATTCATTCTTTAGATAAATTAATTATTCCAAACACGGCATTAGAAATCAACGACGTTTTATCAAATAAAAATTTGAGTAAATTCCAAGAAATCGTTTCTAAAGCCGGTTTAACCGAAACTCTTCAAAACTTAAAAGATGCCACTTTCTTCGTTCCTTTCGATGAAGCTTTCGCTGAACCCGAAGCGCAAAATTATTTAGAAAAGATCCAAGATGACCCAGAAAAATTAAAAGAATTAGTTTTATACCACATCGTTAAAGGAGAAATGCAAGTCGATGATATGGTTGAAACAAGTTTAGTACCAACCAACGTCGAAGGAAAACAACTTCGCGTTAAAGTTTTTCCATTCTTCAGTAACATTTTCTTAAAAACCCTTTCACCGCCACCGATGGTTCAATGCGCGACTTTAACACGCGTTGAAGAAAAAGCTTGCGGAGCCGTTGTTCATGAAATCGATAAAGTTTTGGTTCCACCAACTCAAAATTTATTGGAAATTTTGGATAACGATCCCAGATTGAGTACTTTTAGATCATTATTAACCGGAACTAAATTGGAAGAGAAATTACAAGATGCAAATGAAACTTTAACAGTTTTAGCTGTTACTAATTATGCTTTTGGAAAATATAAATATGATCTTGAAGCTTTAAGAGAAAATAAAACTTTGGCTGATAATGTTTTGAAGAGACATGTTATTAAACGTAAAAAAATTTTGTTATTTAATTAAATATAAATAAGAATTTTACGAAATCAAATTAATATGTGAGGTTATAGAAATAAGGGAAGGATATCGAAATTAATGTCTTGTTTGGTGTCTAAATCAAATGAGATTTATTCTGTTAAGATATGAGTCATTCTTAGTTGCATTGCATATGATGAGATTGAATGTATTGTGATTTGCAAAGAGATGTGGGTTATTTTAATATTTACTATACTTTGAGTTTGTTACTTTAACGTCGTGGTCTTGCATTGTATCAGCATATAGGGTTATATTCATGACTTCCTAGAACAAACATTAAGAAAAGTATGGAACTTGTTATCAGTGAGGGTCAAAATTCAATTACAAGGATACTGAATTTCCGACAAATACTGGAGTCTGAGTTTGTCAGCTCACAAGCTTGCTCTTGTATTGTGATCTGCAGGAAAAAATGTGCTTTATCTCTCCTTATGTTTTTGAATATAAATGGAGTTATTTCATGGTATTTCAATGTTGTTTTAGAATTTTAGTATGCATTTAGACCATCACTGACATTTCTCAGGTTTATTACTTGCTCTTTAATTGTGATTTGGTTTAGACTTAGATTTTGACACAAGAAGTTCTTTTTCTGATTTATCTTTATATACCTTAGCTGCTGAATTTTGAATCCACCTCTTGCACTCCCTCTGGTTCCTGGCTAATTCCCTTACATCTGCTAGAGTCTTCCCTCTTTTGTTCCCAAATTCTGCTGCTCTTTCCTCCCACTTCTTGCTAGGTCTTCCCCTCTTTCTCTTATCCTTATTCTTTGCTTCAAATACTTTTTTTGTTATTGTGGTATGCTCCATTCTAATTATGTGGGCGTACCAGTTTAGTTGCTTTCTCTCTATTTTGCTGATTAGCTCTTCTTGATTCACTCCCAGTCTTATTTCGTGATTTCTTATCATATCCCGCTTAGTTCTCTCCGCTATTTTCCGTAAAAACTTCATTTTCATTGTCGTGATCTTTCCTTCCTGTTTATCTTGGAGTTTTCATGACTCACTAGCATATGTTAATATTGGGTTTGCCACTTAGTTGTACACTTTCAATTTTATTTTTTTGTCTATCTCCCTCTTCCCAAAAATTGTTCATCAATAAGTAAATAAATTTCAAAATGAACCTCAAAACACCTTTGCAAGAATTTTCCGAACGGCCATAAAAATGTTAGCATCATAAATACATGAGTTATATGTTCAGTTACTAGCTCTTTTATTGTGATTTGCATCATACTTGAGTTTTAACATAAACGGTGTTTTTTCTGAAAGTTTTTTGTATGGGTTTTTTACATTTACCAAAAGTTGAGTATGTCAGTATTGTGGACTGCAAGGAGACTCATAACTGATAGACTCATACACAAATGATGCCAAAATTGTATTAAATGGCAAAATTCTTAAACCAGTGTCCTAAGATTTAAAATAAGTAAATTTTTGATACTTGCTTGTTCTAAACTAAAAGGATTTTTTCTGGATTTCAGTGGGAGCCAATATTTGGCTGCTGGAAAAGTTGTTGCGACGGTATTTTGATACTTAAGCAGAATTGAATTTCGATACTCCGCTTTTCTTTTATACTCGTTTTAACACTGACCAGAACCTGAGTTTGTACAAATAGTTAATTTACTGGATTTCCAAGAAACGCTGTAAGATGCTCATTGGAGCTATAGTTTTCAAACAAACTTCTTAATTTTGTATATTAGTTAAATGGTGTTATTTATGACTCATATTTCGCACTTTGAAGTATACTGGAATCTGATTTTCCTAACAAAAGTTCTGTTCATCGCTCCAAAATCAACTAGGTTTTGCTCTCGCATCGTAATTTATAACAATAATGTTGAATTTGACTTATATATCAATGAGAGCCAGAACACCCGACTTAACTCTTACAAGAAGCTTACTTGACTTTGCCTGATTTGCTTGATTTTGACGCAAAGCAATTTCATCTGATGAATCATCGAACGCATTTTGCCACTTTTTTTGCTTTCGCGTACTAATTTATGAAAGGAATCCATTTAATTTTATTACTCAATCACCAGTAAGAGCAGGATTCACCATCTGGGATAATTCTTGTAAGACAATTGTTTAAGTTTACTGAGAGCCATATTTCCTGTTGAGAAAATGTTTTGTTTGGGCATGTATGTAATTATTTTGGGTATAGTTTGTAATTATTAATTGGGTATTAGACCATAAAAAAGAGTTCTATTCATCTTTTCGGAATTGTATTTTATACATTTTTGCCATACACGTTTTGACATTAACTAAAGTCCTCCTCTTTCTTCCAAGAGTACGCAGAAAAGTTGATCATGTTTAAACAAAGTTAGTTCTTGATTTGCTCATGTAAGCTGCGTTAAGATCTACATGAAGACATGTTATTTCTTTGCCATAAGTTTTTTTTTAATAACCGAGTTTTTCAATCGACTGATTGCTTGGTCAATTTCACCAAGGAAAGCCAAAATTTTCAAGATTCCAAGATTTTTAAGTCACCTTTTACATTGTATTACAATCTGTAAGGAAAAGTTGTGGTCTTTTCTTCCAATTGCAACCAGGAGAATTTGATACATTAATACACTCATAAGTTTTGAGTATTTTAGGCATTAAATGCTAACTTAACAATCTTTTAAGACTTTCTTTTAATAATTCGAAATTCTTATTTATATTTAAATGTTTCATTTATTTCTTTTAATGTTCCTATAACATTTTTATAATTTTTTTAGGTCCTGTTTGTTGTCAAGAATTAAGTTATGGAGATCAAATTTTCAATAGATGGTCAACTTTCGGCGATCCATTCCAAACTGGAAACTCCCAAGTTATTAAAGATTGTGATAAAATAGCTACGAATGGTATTTTGCATACTGTATCAGCTTTTATGTATCGTCATCAGTAAATTTTTTTTAACAAAAATTTCTGGATAAACGATTAGGATAAATTTATTTGCATTTTGAGTTGATTTGATTTATTGACTGACGACTTACACTATTTTTAAAAATAATTGTAGGTTTTGTAGATTTCTTAGTTTTTGATTGATAACATAATTTATTATTGTATGATTAGGTGAATAAAATGAAACGAAATAAACGCTAATTAACACTTATGTATTTATTTTTTCTTGATATATTTCCTATTGGAATACATTGGAACACATTTTTTTTGGAGATAATGGAAACAAACATAATAGATTCTTTTTTTCTATTTGTTTGTCCCATTAATCCAGTTTTAACGTTTACACCAAGATTAAACTTTTTTAATTTTAACCATATTGTCTTAGTTTCATACAGATTTTTAAAATTTTAATAAAAAAATAATCCAAATTAACAAGAACTAACAATGATTAATTAAATAACGTAATAAAATAGAAAATAAATTTGTGTTTAATACTGAATTTAACAAAAAAATTAAAAGAAAACAAATAAAGATATAATTGCATCACATAAAATTAAAAGAAACATAATCAAATCCAATTCGTTCCAATTTTTATATATAGATTTTTTTTTAAATATTGACTCATTTAGTTAATTCCTTTTGTTAATTAATTTCGTTATTGAGGCAACTTATAGCGAATCTACGCGAAATGATACAGTCCTACAACGAACTGCAATAACAACCTAAATCGCCTACGTATTAAAAAGTATTTTTTTCAAAATAGAGTATCTCATAAAAGCGAAAAAACGATTCAAATATAGAAAAAAGCCGAACGAATGAAAACGTTTTTATGCCTAGGTACATTTTTTTTATGGATTTAATTTATAAATTAAAGTAGAACGTTTCAATCTTGACGACTTGATTAACAAAACAATTTTAATTTAAACATTTTTATGTCATCTTTCGATTATAACCCAAAAGATATTCGGCTACGCCCCAGAAATAAACCATTTGAGCAATTCCAAAAAGTGGGGCTATCACCATCATTCTGCACGCCCCACCTTTGAAGAAAGCTTTAGGGCCTTCATGTTTTAGTATACTCCTACAAAAAAAAATATTAATATTGAAACATATTAATACAAGAATAATTTTTACATAAAAGCATCGACAATTCCGCTATAACTTCTTTCTCCTTGTGCTTTCGTCAACAATTGTAAACGTGTTTTAACAACATCGAAAGGATTCACAGCGAGGGCCGCTGTTGAACCAGCGACGCAACCGGAAAGAAATGAACACCAAAAAACAGCTTCACCTAAAATTTATAAAAAAGTGTTAACTTTAGCAGCCAAAAACTAAATTTAAAACAGGTAAAACGACGATATGACGTGAAAAGTTGTTATACAATAAGTTTCCAAAAATAGATATTATGAAAATGCGAATAAAACTTACCGGATCCGTCACTTTTTCTTGGACCTAACGAATTTAATGTGGCGAAAAGAGGAAAATAAACGACTGAAAACGACACATCCCTTAACATAGTAGCCGCTGTTCCTTTGTATAATCCGAATATTCCTTTCGTTTTTAATAGTTCCAAAGTAATTTGAGTTGCTGAAGTTTTTGGCACCGTTTTTCCAACTATTCAGAAAAAAATTGTCATAAATTAACATCAAATGTTGAAGACGTTTGAAGACGAGCGGCTAAACCCGAAACTTTCTAATTCTAGGTCTAGTGTTAGTTCTAGTTTTAATTGTTATTCAACGCTAGATTGTTGTATATTGATAATTAACTAAAAGTAGAACTAGCAGCGGACCTAGAACTAGAATCATTCGGGTTTAGCCGTCTTAAGAGACGCGTGGCTAAACCCGAATGGTTCTAGTTCTAGTGCTAGTGTTACCTCTAGTTTGAGTTGTTATTCAGCGCTAGATTGTTGTATATTTCTATTGAACTAAAACTAGAACTAACACTAGACCTAGAACTGGAACCATTCGGGTTTAGCCGTCTTAAGAGACGCATGGCTAAACCCGAATGATTCTAGTTGTAGGTCTAGTGTTAGTTCTAGTGCTATCTCTAGTTTGAGTTGTTATTCAGCGCTAGATTGTTGTATATTTCTATTGAACTAAAACTAGAACTAACACTAGACCTAGAACTAGAATCATTCGGGTTTTGCCATCTTAAAAGACGTTGTTAGTTCTAGTGATAGTGTTAGTTCTACTTTGAATTTTATTTAACACCGGCCATAAAAGTCTGCGTACTTATATTTTTTTATCATTTATATTACAAGTAATATTTCAATTTTATTTTTATATAATCTCGAAATTAATCTGATTTCAACAAAGTGAATGATTTATTATTTATCACCTGCTTTAGCAGCAGCAGCAACTCTCCCCGCATCTTGCATTTGAATCTTTAACAATTCCATAGGCGTAGTAATAACAATTTGACACAACCCAGCTAAACCCCCAGCCATCATTTGCCGAGTAACTGGAAGTTGCCTAAAAACAAATTACAATAAAATATTACCCCTCATTATTTTTTGATTATTTTAATTTATTACTTGTTTTTCGTTTGAAGATGATGACGGAAAAAATCATTTGCAGCTAATTTAATTGCTTTTTCAGGTGTAATAAGCAAGATATTAACCGCCGAACCTCTGTACATTCCGAAGTAACCTTCCGCTTTGTAAGTTTTCTTTAAAGCATCAAACCTAAAGGGCAGCAAAATAAGTATCAAAATGAAATTTTGATTTATTTTAATTTTAATTACATAGAATTATACATCCGTTCCCCCTTCGGTCCAATTTGTTGATTTTGAAGTCTTGTTTTGACCAAATCAAGGGGAAAAACGCAAGAAACGCCAATAATTCCTGCGATACCTCCATTGATAATTTTTGGAATTAATCTAATGACATAAAAATTAAATAAATATATGTTATAGTGCAATAAATTGTTCATGTATTATCTATTCGTTTTATCTATGACTTATTAACGAGAAAAATATAGGCCACGAGCCACTAGAAGTTAATGAAAAAAAAACTTGGGTAAGAGATATGTTTGAAGGTCGCGCTAATTTCTCAGGAGTATATTTGATCGATCGTGTTTTATACTTACGCAAATTGTTGTTGTCGAGTCGGCTGCGGTAGTTGCTTGTATTCGGTCATTTGGGTTTATGATATTTCTTTAAAAGAATAAAATAACATTATGAAATCGTCAACACAAAAGCAATAAATTAAAAATTATAATAAAAATATTACTTTGAACTTGAAATTTATTTGAGTTTGACAATTGTTTATAATTTTTCAAAACTTTTACCAGTTTGTATATCATAAATAATAATTTTATTATTATTACTGGAATTTTAAAACAATTTTAAAAGCTTATTAGTTACGAGGTTCATATTTGAAACTGAAATTGTTTCGGGAATTTAATACGCTACAAAACAGTTTATTCATTTCTTACATAACATGCATTGTTAACAATCCAAAATAACAAGGATTTTATGTATGTTTAACCGCACAACTAAAGTTGTATACATAGTACATACTAAAAAATAAGAAAATCACAAATCAAGTATTTATATTAAACCACGTTTCTATGGGTTCAATATTTATGGGCTTGTTTAAGAGTTTAAGCAAAAAACACGTACCATTAAAATATCGCAAATCAAATTATATTTCTGAAGTTAGATAAAAAGCTTTTGATGAAGAGAAAAGAAAGAACGACGATTATGATATATGTTGGTCCAATTGAGTGTTAAATCACGGATTCTAGAGGAAATGAAGCTTCATGTCATTCAATGGTCTAACTTTTTTGATCAAATATCATGTTGATATCTCAGTTAAGAAGATATTATTGAGGCTGCATCTTCTATAAACGAATTTGACAAAAAATATATACTGGTTTATAATATATCATGACGACGAGTGTAGTAAACCACAAACGTTCCGATGGTAAGGCAGAGATTAATGCCATGGTAAAGATTTTTCAGAGGTTCCCAATTCGTTTTGAAGTTGTACATAAAAACTATATTAGATGGCAAATTGTGCTACGACAAAAATGCAACGAGCAAATCATGAAGCGTATAAGGAAAGAATGAAAAAAGCTTTAAGCTACAATGTAGTGATGGGATCTCTCACACTGTTGAACATTAAAAGTAGGATCCAGAAAGAAGTTCTTTATCACATAAGTAATTACAGAATAGCAATTGAACACCCCAGTGCAAGAATGGACATCTCTACCTTTTGGCAAAATTAGGATATGACTTCTGTCTTGATTTTGAAAGAGGTTATACATCATAACACATGTTCAGTGTCTTTGGAAAACACGTCGTTTTGGAAAACCGAAAATGTCAAACTTGCGAAGAATATGACGTAAAAATTCCTGGTTCAAAGGGTCAGAGTGTTGTACTTAATTTGCTAAATCATTTTATTGCAACTAAACTAGATGCAAAAGTCACAGTTGCATATTTTTTCAGACGACTGCAGTTCACAAAATAAAAACGTTGTTATGGTGCAGTTTTTGTATAGTGTGGTAAAAATAGGACGATTTAAAGTAATAATTCACAGACTACCGGAACCAGGCCACAGTTTTCTCCGCTGTGATGAGTATCCCCCCATAGGAACATTACATATCTAAGATATAGTATAAATAGTCACTATTTGTAGAAAGGTTAAACACGGCTACCACCAAAAACTCAACTCTGTGGTCTTTCAACCACAGGATGGTGAAAATCCAATCTAACCTGTTTTAGCGGCATTTTTTTTTGACTTAGTGCAACACATTTCATTCTATACAGCAACCAAGCGTTTATAACGCATACATCCAAAAGATAAGCAAATATTGAAAAATACCAACGTTTTTCCTTGTGGGGACCCACCAAAGCATTGGGTGTATCCCCACCCATGTATTTATTGTTCCAAGATTATGTATAATACATTTTTCTTTGAGATATTGAAAATGCGGTAGACCAGCAAAATAGTTATCAAAAAATAACTTTGCATTTTCACGATCATGCAAAGATTTCGACAAAGCTATTAGAACTCCTGCTTCAACACCACACTTGAAACCTCATGGTAATGTTGCCCGATATTGTCAGATATTAGGAGTTTAAAATTCATGCATTTGAATTTAGTGTAACCATACGGTTACATTGTCCATTATATTGTATGTTATTTATTTAAAGGCCGGTCGATAAAGGGTTAAACTAAACGTTTCCGTTTAATTTTTGTGGTAAATTTAGGTATTTTTAGATACTAATATATTTAGCTTTGGAAATGTTTATCCTTGCATTAATTAGGTAGATAAGGCATCTCCACGAAATACCTGTTTTATTTAAAGTGGGTGTCGACGCGAACTATTTATTATACAGGTCATCCACGACGACCGTCCATTAAATTTTCAAATCCCCACTTCATTTAGTTTTCTATATAGCTTTAATGGACACTCGTCGTGGATGACCCTGTATATTTTTTGATTTAGAAAGATAAGAGCACTAAAAGTAATGGAATGTTGAGAGAAATTGTTGATAAACGAGTATACAATAATAAACCATATAAAAATAAAGACCAAGATAAGTAATCTTCTTCTTTTTCCTTGCGTATTTAGGCATAATGGTCTGTTTTGTTCTCATCTTTGTTCCTATTTTGTCCTTAGGAAGTAATTGATATTATTTATACGTTTATCTGATGCTCTCACTTATTTCTCTGTTCATCAGCTTTTTCAAAGCTATTTTACACACTATTTTCATTTCTGTAGTATCTATCTTTTTGCTTTTGTCGTTTTAGTAGTTAGGAGTTGTTTTAGATGTCTCGAGTCGGGTTTCTGTTGCATAAGTTAGTATAGGTCTAATTGCAGTCTTACAGCTCTGGGCCTTGCCTTCAGTAGCAATATGCTTCTTTTGCCATACTGTGTAATTTAGGTACGCCGCTGCTCTTGCAGCTACTACCTTACTTCCGTCTCAACATCTCAATGCTCAAGTATATCATTTCCTGGTACGTGATTTTATCATCGACATAAGCTTGCATCTGATCGTTGTCTAGGAGGTAGTCCTAATAGATTTTGTTTTGAAGCTGATACTAAGACAGTAACCTCAAGAGATCATCTTCGCTCTCCGTTATAAGGACCGCAAGGTCTGCATAGAATTGGATATTTCCCTATTTTCCATTTTCTATCATCTTAGTTTGCGTACTTGTTTTATAATTTTATTCATTACACAAAATATTAACTAATTACTACAATACATGTTATTCATCAAAACGCAGCGTATTTCACATTGTTGTCAATGACAGTAGAATCTTCTCCGCATGTTACCCACATATTTTAGAAGTTGTGTATCATGTTGGTGCACTCAATTAAACGATCAGTAGCAGCCATGCACATTGTTCCTCTGCTGCTTTAGTCGCAGACCAAAAAAATAGAAAAATGAAGGCAAATGCAGTAAATTTTGAAAAGTAATGTAATGTAGTTTCGACTTCTGGAATTACTTTTGCCTCACTTCGATCTTGTATCTGAAGAATGTTGCAACATGGTATTCGAAACGGCTACAAAACATTTTGTCAAAGGACACATTGTTTAACCTCAAAGCTTCTAGTTCTTTCATTGAAAAAGATTGAAATAATTTTTTGACAAAATTGTTAAAAGCCAGAAAAATATAATTTATGTCAAAAAAAGTTGTTAATTAGCTTATTTAAATCTAGAGATATTAACTTTGAGATCATAATAAAACTGGTTCTTATTTTTTTCTGATTAAAAAGTGCCAACGATTTCTAAAATATTTACGTTACATAACAACTCTTGCATAAAAACGTCGATTATTTCAAGAACTTGATAACATTCATTTCAATTAACAAATTAGTATGACAAAATAAAATTTAAATTAACACAAAAATGTTAAAAAAAATTATAAAGTTTCAAAATATCTTGTTAATAATGAATCATAAAGAAGTAATCAAACTGCTGTTTCTGGTCTATATGCATAAGATTTTTTGTTCTACTAAATGTTATCAATTTTTAAGTGTAAATAAACTTTCGTCATCGTCAATGATTATTTGAAACAAACCTTATGAATGGTCAATTTAAATTGAACATATCGTGACGTAACGCGGTACATTTCCATTTTTTAAATTTATTGTCACAATAAAATTCTCTTTTAGTTTAAATTTGGCGTAACAAAACCAAAAACGTGGTAAAACTCCAGTTATGGAACGGAAAATCAATAAAACCGAATGACCCAGAGTGTCAAGTGCGAAAGAAATAATCACAAGTAGCAACGAGATAACAATTAATCTCTTTTACGATTAATTTGTTTTTAGTAAAAAAAATAATTGTGGCAAAAAATTGTTCAGCTGGGTTCAGCAAATTTTATTTATATATTCGTGAGTAGGAAAATTGGTCGAAGGTCAACCTTTTTGGATGAATTAAAATTTTAAAACCCGTTTTCCTGTTGTTTGATTAACAAACAATCTCTTTTTAATAAATTAAGTTTATTCTACTTTAATTTTATCGCAATCAAAACGTAATATTTTATCGATTTACAAATTCTACTTACACTTTTTTATTGATTACTAAATGAATTAAACTCCGAAGTATTGATTTTCAAAATTTTAAATCTGATTCGTTGTATGACACTTCACTAAAAAACAGGATTCCAAACTGAATTTATTTCGGTTTATTTTCTTTCTTGGACGCAATACACCAAAATACGATGTTTTACGATGGTGCCTAGCACCGACTGATTTTTTTCGAGTATAACAGCTGGTTGTAGCGCACGCCAAAGCATATCTCTGTCGAATTGTTCACATATTTGTTCACAGAGAAGTTTATCTACCGTGTCAAAGATGGCGCGAGATACATTTATTTTGTTTTTCAATTGTTTTTCGAAATTGTATTAGAAAATACTTATGCACCACTCTGTATATGCATACAATTTTTGTTAGATTTGGCCCAAAACTTGATACGAAACTTTGATTTTGTACTCATATTATATAAATAAATATCAAAACTTTACTTCTACTCTTTTAATTACATAATTTCTCAGAAATATTTTTTATGATTTTCTTAGATGTACCCTAAAAGATGTTCGGCGACCCCCAAATAATAAATCATTTGAGCAATTCCGAAAAGTGGTGCTATCACTATCATTCTGCAAGCTCCACCTTTGAAGAGAGCTTTGGGACCTTCATGTTTTAGTATACTCCTGCAAAAAATTTAAGTTATATTCAAGTCATACTTAATTAAATGCTTACATAAACGCATTTACAATTCCATTATAACTTCTTTCACCTTGTACATGAGTTAACAATTGCAAACGTGTTTTGACGACATCGCAAGGAGTAACAGAAAGAGCTGCTGTTGATCCAGCTAAACAACCAGAAAGAAAAGACCACCAAAAAACAGCTTTATCTAAATTAATTAAAAATATTAAAATGATCCAATTAGAAATGAATGAATGAGTTAACCGCTTCCATCACTTGCTCTTGGACCTAACGAGTTTAAAGTAGCGAAAAGTGGAAAATAAATGATTGAAAAAGTAACATCCCTCAACATTGTTGCGGCTGTTCCTCTGTACAATCCAAAAACTCCTTTCGTTTTTAATAGATTTAAAGCGATTTGAGTTGCAGATACTTTCAGTGATGTTCCTCCACCTTAAAAATATATAAATTAATTCAAATCATTATTATTTAAAAATTATTTAACCTGCATGTGCTGCAGCAGCAACTCTTCCTGCATCCTGCATTTGAATCTTTAACAACTCCATGGGTGTTGTAACTATGATCGGACAAAAACCAGCTAAACCACCAGCTAACATTTGACGAGTAATAGGAAGTTGTCTAAAAATAAGGTTAATATTTAAATTGAAAGTTTCGATTTTTATTAAAATACTTGTCTTTCGTTTCAAGATGGTGACGAAAAAAATCGTTTGATGCTAATTTTAGTGCTTTCTCAGGGGTTATTAGGAGAATATTAACTGATGCACCTTTGTACATCCCAAAGAAACCTTCTGATTTATAAGTTTTCTTTAAAGCATCAAACCTAAATTGCAACAAAAAAAATTTAAGTCATTATATTGATTTTTTTTTATTACATGGAAGTATAAATGCGTTGTCCTTTTTGTTGATTTTGAAGTCTTGTTTTAACCAAATCAAGGGGGAAAACGCAAGAAACGCCGATAATCCCTGCAATACCCCCATTTATGATTTTTGGGAGTAATCTAAACGTTAAAAAGATTTCTTAATCAACAATAAATCAAATCGTAAATTACTTACTCAAATTGTTTGTGTTGAGTCGGCGGTGGTAGTTTCTTATTGGTCATTTGTAATTTTGAGACTTTTTAAGTATAAAAAAACAGTAAAATCATTTGCACTAAAACAAACTTATTAAAGGGTTAATTAAAATTAATAAAAGAAGTTATCGGATTTTAAAATAACTCAAAAACGGAAATATCGAAGATTCGTATCAAATTTTTGGCCAAATAAATCAAATTCAAAAATTATCAACTGAATATCTAATGTCTAAATAAGATGTAAATTACTTAATTTATATCTTAAAATATCTTAAGGTTGATTTTAGACAAGTGTGAAATCGATGTTAACTTTATAAACCAAGAGTGCTCAAAACGGCACCATGTGCAATGTTATCACATACAAGTTGGTTCTTTGTCGCGATCTTTTACGCCTATTTTATATGCTTAGTTGAGATGCACTTTGTTTTAGACATGAGTATTTAGCCATGAACATAAAAGTCAAAAAATTTGCATCAATTATGATTGGTACTTCAATTTCAGTATGAGTATCTCATAAACATCACAACCTAACTCAAAGACCTGCCTTAAAATTGGAAAATTATTTTCATTTTAGTCATATTCTCGTTAAGTCTCTGCAACAACATTTTTCTGGCAACTCTTCCATAGCTTTTTGAGCATGTTTTTAGCTTTTTAAGCAGATAGTGTAACTAACAGAGCTAATATGACAGTTAGCGTCCCTCAAAGATCAATGACAGAACAGAGACCCTGCTGTACTAAATTTAGACATGTTGCATTTTCAATCTTCATGACATCTAGTTACAGCATTAATTTGTTATTGATTTCTAGTCAGGAATGTATTAATGGCGATCTAATTAAACTAATTCCAAGCGCTTCTCAACTTGCCCTTAACACCAATACGTTATTCAAGTTGCAGAATAAGCTACACTAGCAGGAGTTATTAAACAACGCTTCGTTGATGAGTCATAACTTGTCCTGTGACGTTGGATTTTTTATTAAGACTTAGGTTGCACATTTATTTTCTTCTTTAGGATACTCATTGTCAGTTAATACTTACTACACACGTTTTTGCGTCCATTTTATTTTTACCGTAACCTATTAATGAGCTGACATCTACCTCTTACAGAAAAATTATACTTGATTACCTCACTGCGTCTCGGTGAGTCAATCTCAACAGCTGAACTGCTGGAAATTCAATCAATATGGAGCGTACTGAGCATTATGTGTTATGCGCGCAAAAAAATCTGCAGCTTTCAGTACAAAAACCGGTACAAAACTAGAAAGATAAAAAACGGACGACCAAGGTTATCAAGAATGGCAAAACGCCAAATCTAGTTCTTAAAGATCAGAACCTTTCAACTTGGAAGCATGCAAGTGCTTTAAACATTCCATCATGTTAGATCACGTTATTGCATGCTATTAGAAGAAACAGAATCTTCTCTAAGAGAAGCAAAGCTGGCAAAGTGTTATTTGATGATCTGGCTTTCAAACTCCAGGCTACAGCATTGGAACAAGCTGCGGAATGGATTCAAGTTATTGGTCTTCTTATCTGCTCCTTACTTTAAAACATGTCTTGTTTCTTAATAATCATAGCTTATGCTGAAAAGTTGAGTTCTCAGCAAGTGGTATCTAAAAGTTAATCTAATAGAATCAGCAAATTGAGCACCCCTGATTATAAAGTGATCAATATTTACATTAACCTCAAGAATTATTTTCTTACAAACCACGATTTGAATTCTTTCTTATTCTCTATTTGACATTTAACTAAGGATTATTAGATAATAAGTGTTAAATACATGAGTAAAATACTTACTTACAATTTAGAAAATATTGTAATCTTCTGGAACCCATTTTGAAAAATATTCGAATAATTTTGTTAAGAATACATGAATCTAAAATAAAAGCGGTCTTAAATAAATCGTTAATAAGTTTTATTCTTTGTTATTAACTCACCAGCTACATTAGATTTTAACATCGCGCCAAATTTATACTGTCGTTTTTTACGTTTATTTTGACAATTTATGACATTATAAAACATTTATTAGTAATTGGTGCACCACACCAAAATCACCAAAACTAGTAAATTTTCTATGCGCTCTTTTTATTATAACCCAAAAGATATTCGCCGACACCCAAAAAATAAACCATTTGTGCAATTCCAAAACGTGGTGCAATCACCATCATTCTGCAAGCTCCTCCTTTGAAGAGAGCTTTTGGACCTTCATGTTTTAATATACTCCTATACCAAAAAAAATCGTAAAAAAAGGTTATAATAAAAATGTTATTGTTTACATAAAAGCATCAACAATTCCAATATAACTTCTTTCCCCTTGTGCTTTCGTTAATAACTGTAAACGAGTTTTAATAACATCAATAGGAGTAACAGTAACAGCTGCTATTGAACCTGATGCACAGCCGGCAAGAAACGAACACCAAAAAACGGCTTCACCTAAAATTCAAAAAAAATGTACACATAGTCACATAGTCACACATAGTAATTATTATAAATAAGACCATACCAGATCCATCAGTTTTTCTTGGACCAAACGTATTTAAATAAGCGAAAAGTGGAAAATGAAGGCTTGAAAATGAAACATCTCTCAACAACGTTGCGGCCGTTCCTTTATACAATCCTGCAATTCCTTTTGTTTTCAATAAAGTTAAGGTGATTTGAGTCGCAGAAGTTTTTGGTACTACTTTTCCACCTAATTAGAACTTAATTATTTAATTATTTTAATTTTTTATTATAAATCTAATTACCTGCTTTTGCTGCAGCAGCAACTCTTCCTGCATCCTGCATCTGAATCTTTAATAATTCCATCGGCGTTGTAATTAAACTCTGCACAAAACCAGCTAATCCACCAGCCATCATTTGCCGACTAACCGGAAGTTCTCTAAAAATTTAATTGTAATAAATAAATTTTTAACTATATCGTAATTACTTGTCTTCTGTTTGTAGGTGATGACGGAAAAAATCATTTCCGGATAATTGAAGCGCTTTTTCAGGTGTCACCAATAAGATGTTGACTCCTGAACCTTTGTACATTCCAAAATAACCCTCTGCTTTATAAGTTTTTTTAAACGCATCAAACCTGCCGTTCGAAATTAAATTAAATAAAAGGATAATGTTGTAAATAATGTTTAATTACATGGAATTATACATCCGCTCTCCATTTGGCCCGATTTGTTGGTTTGAAGTCTCGTTTTAACCAAATCAAGTGGAAAGATGAGAGAAATGCAAAGAATTCCTGCAATACCACCATTAATAATTTTTACAAGTAATCTAAAAAGTACAATGAAAGAATATGTTTTTTTTGCATATGCAATCAACGCTTTAAAGTTTTCTTTCAACACTTATATATAATATATATTCAGGATTTAGACTAGTAGTGTATTTTAAAAGTTATTAAGAAATTAAACAAAAAATATTGCTTTAAGGTTGTGTCAAGTTATTGTGATACAGTTCTGGCATTACCCAATCATTACCACCCATCATAACTAAATGATTAATGCTTTCCCTGTCTTATAGTAATGATGGAAATGTTTAATTGAAAATCATCTGATCGAATCACACTCGTAGCTATTTTGTTGGTTTTTAAACTGATCTCCACCTTGTGGAGGATAACAATAATATTATTAAAAGAATGCAGCTTTAATTGGTAAATACCACGAACACTTACGGAAACTGCTGTTTATGAGTCGGCTGAGACTGCTTCTTTTCCGTCATTATACTTTCGCTGGAATTTCTATAAATATTAAACAGCAAAACAAAATTATCTGCAAAAAAGAAGATGAAGACGATTATTAATTACTTAATAATAATAATACATTTATTGCTAATAAGCATAATTAGGTAGTGGTCCCTAGAGACTACCACATTTGATTTTAAAGTCTGACCAGAATGAAGAGTCAGCACACATATGCAAAGAACGATGGCAGAAATGTAACCAGGAGATGCACGAAAGAGTAAATCAATGTAAGCTAATCAAAGAGCTTTTTTAAGTAAATTTTTGCCGGCAAAGTTACTTGACAAATGTCACAAGCATGTCTCTAGTATATACCACGAAAATCGCAATATCAAGAAAGGGTAGGAATTTTTTGATCAAACTTGCCAGAAATGTTTAACTACCAAAGGTAGTAATTTATAAATCGATTCCAGTAGATGAATTTCCTGTTGGATTTTGAGATATTGTGTCCCAAGAAGCCTTGAATTCGTACTGTAATGCTTACAGCGTTTATGGCAGATACAGCAGGTTCTTCAGTCTCCTTTATACATACAATGTTCCAAACATGCTTTATAGACGAAAGATCAGGAAATTGATGTCGCAAGATATTACCAAAAATCCAACAATGCTACTCTATGCTACTCGAAGTGCCAATAGAGTTGTAAACCACATAAGGAGGGTAGATAAATGGCTAGGTAAGGAGGGTAACTTCCTTATCTAGGCATTTATTCCCAATTAATCTGCTAGTGGATAAATGATCTCTTGTTGGCATAAATTGAAGATAGAGTCGAAGATGTTTTTTTTTCGACGTTTCTGAATCTTCCTAGTCCATGTCTGATAACAGCGTATAGAAGAATAGGTAGAATGTGTTTTATGCTCCTACACAAGCGAACCTACATATTTTAAGACATAAGCACAGAAATGGCAACAAATGGAGAAAGAACAAGTATTGGAACTAATATTAGTAGATACACGATATGTATTAGGAGTGGGTCTCAACCCAACCTAATCTGAGGGTTTTTATAAATCTTTTTGCTACTAAAAAGTGGAACCCTTCAGTTCTAGATCGAACGAGGAATATCTATTGAGAGCAAGTTGTATCGATAAGACTGATGCCTTTTTAATACCTGATAGCAGAGAAATCTTTGCATTTATGCTGAAGATGATAGCTTATATTGTTACTTACAATTTACAAAAGATTTAGGTATAACATATCTTGAACATGATATTAAAGAATTTTCAGCAATTATTTTTTCCTAGTTTTTCTTAACATTTTCTCAAATTGTTTAAACATTAACGTCGCATTGACTTTTCATTATAACCATAATTTAAAATGTCAAAATAAATGTTTAAACATTTTTTTATTCTAATTTTAGATGTAATTTAAAATTTAATTTAATTGAATCCACTTTGGTTGATTTGAACGTGTAATAAAATGTAATTTTAGGTAGCACAATTTTAACAAGCACATAAATATCTAAGTTGAAAATATAACAAGATAATAACCGAACAAATAGTTTAGAGTAGAGCAGTGGGACGATGACAATTTGCCATTGTACCGAGATTGCCAGTTAACGCTTCCGCCAATCTTTTATGTACTACTTTATGTACTACAAGTTGCTATGATTAAATTTTTTTATATGGGTTCCATTCGATCGGGCGAATCTTTACAGTTTAGATCAACACTTTGAGTTTTTTAACGAAAGATTTGTGTCTTAACCATTTTCTTGTTTTTAATTTAAAAATTTCTTAATTTTGTTTGGGAGAAATGAAAAAATTTGCTTTATCGAAAGTATTGAAAAAAATGCGTGTTAAATTCTCAATTGATTACTATACTCAATATTTATTCAAAATAACTTATTCAAATTTATAAATACAGTGAAAAAGTGATTAATAAATCATTATGGCCGATATTCTTGGTGTTGGTTTGATTACATCAGCCGATCAAGGCCAAAAAATTGTCTTAGGGATGACCGTCGAAGATATTGGTTCATCGATGAAAAAATTCGGTTGGCCGGATTACGTAGTTTTCTTTATAATGTTGTTTTTGTGCGTCATAGTCGGTGTTTATTACGGATTTTTTAAAAAAATGAAATCAACCCAAGATTATTTAGTTGGTGGTAGAGAAATGAAAGTTTTCCCCATTTCTATGTCATTAATAGCAAGGTAAGTTACCAAATAAATTAAAATAAATAAATAATTAAAATTAATTTCGCCATAATTTAAAGTTTTATAAGTGGTATTTCTTTATTGGGAATTCCAACCGAAATTTATGTTTATGGAATACAATATATTTATATTGGATTCGGAATCATTATAATGGGGGTTATTACTCATGTTATTTATCTTCCAGTTTTTCATAATTTAAAAATTACATCAACTTATGAGGTGAGTTATCGTATTATTTAATTTAAAAGAAATTACATTCAAAATTAATTTTTTTAAATAGTATTTACACCGAAGATTTGATAGCAAAGTTAGACTTCTTGCATCTGTGTTATTCATGATTAATCTGGTAAATAAAATTGTTTTTAATTAGCTTTAACTTTATCTTATTCATTTTCTTTTAGTTCACTTGGTTACCCATTGTAATTTATGTCCCAGCCTTGGCATTCAATCAAGGTAATAATCATTATTAAGTTGTTCATCTAAAATTATTACGAAAAATATAACCACCTAGTTTACAAGCCGATATCTTCATTGTCTTTTGAGTTAGCGAAATATTAAGTATACCACTAAAAAGCCTGATCTTTTCTTCATCTAAAACCGGGCTTTGTCATGAAATATGATATCAACAGCACAAAAAAATAAAGATCGTCGCCCTGTACCGAATACACCTCAAAATCATCAAACTTCAAGCCTGTGTGCAGCCGGTATGGAATACAATTTAATAAAAAGTTTTATCAATTTGAAAAGAACGCACTTTAAGCTATCTAAATCTGGATTTATTTCAGTTAATGTTTATCGGCGTCGATCAAAAAACAGGCCTAATAAACAACTCTACACATAGAATTGGTAGATTGGCTTTTCTTAATACAACTTTTTTATTTGGTAGGAACAAAAAACTAAAGCAGTATCAATCATATAGGAAATTTTACATGAAGAAAAGGTCAGGCTTTCCAGTGGTGTAGTTAATATTTCGCTATCTCTAAAGACAACGAAGATATCGACTTGTAAAGTAGGTGAAAAAACTCTTTGAAATTTGTCCCAAATAAACGGAATCAACTGTATATAAAAAGTAAATATAAAAAATGTCTTTTAGTTACTGGAATCAACATCCATTGGATAACCTCAGCTGTTTGTATAATTTGCATTTTTTACACATCTTTGGTAAATTATTTATCTTCACTATCTTTATTATCTCATAATTTTATTTATTTTTTTAAGGGTGGAATAAAAGCGGTTGTACTAACCGATGTAATACAAACTTTAGTGATGATTGGAGCTATGCTTTTGGTGGCTATAAAAGGTACATTAGATATTGGTGGTATCGGAGTGGTTTGGAATAGGAATTTGGAAAGTGGAAGAATAGAAGGGCCTAAGTAATCAATTTTTTTAAGATTAAGAATGTATTTTGAATACAAATTTTAGTTTCGACCCGAACCCTCTTTCAAGACACACGATTTGGTCGTTAGGAATTGGAGGATTTATTTACATGCTTCAAACGAGCACGGTTAATCAAAGCATGATACAAAGATATTTATCTTTACCCACATTAAAAACTGCAAACAAGTATTTCAAGATATCTATTTAATGATTCTAATTTTTATTGAATTTCGTTTTTAGATCTTTATGGTTATTCATTTTTGGAATGTATTTGGTTGTTTGTCTTTGTGCTTATTGCGGAATGTTGGTTTATGCAACTTATCATCAATGTGATCCATTAACAACAATGGTAATTAATTTTAATAAGAAATATCAGCTTATTTATTTTTAAACCCCTTTTTAGTTAGCAAAAGAAAAAGATCAATTATTACCGATTTTAGTTATGGAAGTGCTGGGTAAATTTCCGGGTTTACCTGGATTATTTGTTGCTGGAATTTTTAGCGCAGCTTTGAGGTAAATAAAAATCTAATTAAAATAATTAATAACTATTTTGTTAAAGCTCCTTATCAACGGGATTAAATTCAATGGCCGCTGTTATCTTAGAAGACGTTTACAAAACATTTTTTAGGAAAGAGCTAACTCAAAATCATACTTATATTCTTATGAAAGGAACCGTGATTATAATGGGAATAATTTGTGTTGGGTTAGTTTTTGTAGTTGAAAAATTAGGAGCTGTTTTACAAGTAAATTAACTATTAATTATTCCATATGAAATATTTTCTAAATTAGTTTTTTTTAGTTAACAATGAGTATAAATTCAATAGCAGCAGGCCCATCTTTAGCGTTATTTACAATGGGAATTTTAATACCATGGATTAATGCGAAAGTTTTTATTTAATTAACTTAATAAAAAAAATTTGTTGTTAAAATACTATTTTAGGGAGCTTTTATTGGAAGTGCAACAAGCTTGGTGATAATGTCGTGGATTATCGTAAAGTATCAAACAACCATAGTATCAGGAAATTTGTTCTTCCCAGAAAAACCAACGAGTACTGACGGTTGCACTTATCATTTTACACCAAAGTTGCATCCCTCAATTAATTTAAGACTAAATCCATCTTTAAATACAACAGATGTCATCCATACTGAGTAATATAACACAAAAAAAATCTTATAGAAAAAAATGTGTTGATGATTTTAGCGAAATCTTTATGCTTTACCGATTATCGTACCTTTGGTACACATTAATCGGTTGCGTTATAAGTATTTTAATTGGAGGAATCGTGAGTTTTTTTACTAAATTCAACGACGCCCGAGATATCGATTCAATGTTGATCGCTCCTTTTTATAAGAAACTGATTAAACCCAGAGAATACCCCAACGAACCTAAAAGTAACGAAATTATTTTTGCTTACGATACAAAGGTAAGTTCATTAAAAGTAATTTGTTACTAAATAGACGTGTTATTAATCATCGAATTTTTTTTAGATTAGAAGTAATATAAATGATCTCGATAATGAATCACATAACGTTTAAAATCTATGATGAATCATAATATAATCTATTTAAGTTAGTTATTGTGAATATAATAAAGTTAAATAATAAATATGTTTAATAGCTCTTAAATTATCTAAGAATAAACACATCCAAAGTTTCATATTAAATAATGTTTTAAATTTTATTCTTTTTAGTTTTATAATTCAACAATGAGTTTGAAATTATTATTATTAACTTATTACAACTTCCTAACCNTAAATAATAAATATGTTTAATAGCTCTTAAATTATCTAAGAATAAACACATCCAAAGTTTCATATTAAATAATGTTTTAAATTTTATTCTTTTTAGTTTTATAATTCAACAATGAGTTTGAAATTATTATTATTAACTTATTACAACTTCCTAACCAAGCTCAGTAGTAGCATTGACTATTTTATACCAGACTGCTAACCGCTACGTAAAAATTGGTAACATTACATTACATTACATAGAATACATATCGGGTAGGCGGACCAACCACCCTTGCACCGCGACCCTAAGGATCTACTGTACCCCGATAGATATCATTATCAAATTTCACCGTGCAGTCCAATGCTCTTAACGAACATTAATACC